GCAGAGGCCTATCTTCGACTTGTCGCCGCGCTCGGCGGGGTGGAGGTTCAAGGCCCACCACTGGCTGCTCGCACACGGCGGGCACAGGTCCTCCTCCTTCAGCGAGTGCAGGTCGATCGGCCTCAGGTAAGCCGTGAAGCACAGGAGCACCGCCAGACACGCCACCTCGGAGTTGAGCTGCTCGACGAGGTGCTTCGCCACCCAGCACGCGATCTCCCAGGGCACAGGCGGCATGGTGACGCCCGGGTCGAGGTTGGTGTACCCCTTGACCGCCCTCTGGAAACGCGGCAGGCGAAGCTTTCCCCAAGGAGACAAATCCGCAAGATGCCAGACCGCCGCGGCGTACGCCTTGAGGAGATCTGCCTTCTCGAAACCTTCTAGAAACAAATAATCCGCGAAGTCCGTCATCACAGCGTCCACACTGTTGACGGAGTCCAGAGTGCGATCGATCGAGGTCGCAAAATCTTGGAGCTCCTTGAAACAGGCATTGTAGAGGCCCTCCGTCGCACTCGTGATGGCATGCGACTCCAGAATGGAGAGCTGGCCCTCCGTCACGCGAGGCAGGAAGTTGCCGAACGTCTCCGCCCTCTTGGTCCTCCTCTCTGCTCGGCTGGCAGCTGCGACGAGATGGCATGCGCTCCGTCGAGGCAAGCGAGTCCCCCCCGACAGCACCTGGACGCCTGAGACCTCCCGATGGATCTTGGAGGTGACCCCCGAGGCATGGCTGGCAACCGTGGTCCTCCCAGCAGCCGCCGTCATTAACCTCGACCTCCTGGCCTCTCAGCTGTGGAGCAGCCCGAGCCAGCTTTCGAGTCACCTTCCCATCTCCGCGAGAGCTCATCCGCAGTGTTCTTCTCAGAAGGGACCCAGCGGAAGTGCCACTTGGTGCAACTGGCAATGGCTAGAGCCGCAGCGCGACGGACCAGATTGAGGATTGAGAACGATGCTGCCCGAGACTTCCCAAACGCCATCGTATTGCCCAGCTGGTCCCCCATGATTAAGCGATGCCTCCTGAAGCCCCCTGTGGACCTGAGACCATGACGAATGCCCAAGACAGTAGCCCGCGCCTCCAGAGTAGGCATGCCCTCCCTATTCTTGAACCTCTACGCGATATCCCAACGCCACAGAGACTGCTCCAAGAAATCGTCCGAGACGTCCTGGAAGTACGGGTTCTCCTCGAGCATCTCCAGGGCTTCTCCGAGGCCTTCAGGGAGCACATAGCCTTGATCGGAGAAGACGTCCTTTTTGCCGAGGGCAGTGCGACGAGGCTGCGACAGCGGGTGCTTGCCACGATAGCGCCACCGTTCGGAGATGCGACCCACGTCCGCAACTCTGTCAGCAGCGAAACGAGCGGACGCAACGCCAGCACCTGTCTCGCACGCATCTGTCATGATCACCTGTGGGTGCCACGTCATCTTGAGGTCGGCCTCGCAGACTCCGATGAGGCCCCATATCCAACGGGCCTCCTTGCGTAGGGAATCCCACGCTCTCTGCCTGCGCGGGCCGACCTTCTCAACAAAATCGTACGTGGCACGAAGAACGGACAAAGCTTCGCGTCGGATAAGGAAGAAGTCAACAACATGCCGAGCCCATCTCTGAACGGCGTGTCCAGACAGCCGAGCTCCACTCTCAATCACTTTGCAAAATTTGGCGAGCCGATCGGCACGCTCAGGCTTATTATGGACAATCCACTGAACTCCATCGATACATCTGCCAAGAGAAGTGATCTTGGTCGCCGCGTCCTCCTCCTCATGCACAGGGAAACCCTTCGACCTGAGGTGGGCGACGACCGTATCCTTCGCCTTCTGGACTCCCCCCTTGCCAAGACCGCTGACATTGAGGTTGTCACAATAGGGTAGGATACACAACTCGCGGCTGACGTCGGGAAGAGGCCCAACATCACGAAGGAGGGAATACGTGGCAGCTCCATGCAAGGCTTCCTCGATACGATTCTCCAAGATCTTTTGACCAAAGTAGAAAGCCCAGCTCCAACCCATGGGAACCGAACGCAACATAGGCCAGATGAAATCGGAAACCTCGAGGTCCCCAGTACCCTCCATGAAGCCCTGCGCCTCCGACACTGAGATCGCAGGCAGGCAAAAGAAAGGCTGGAGATCCGGGTGGTTCTGGATCGTATGAAAATAGTTCTTCACATCTGCAGTGGCGGTAAAGATGTGGCCCGCTCCATCGGGCCGCTCCAAATTTGACCAAGCCCCTCCAGTCCCCATATCCAGGTGCGGAGGGGGTCGAAAGTGGAGGTTACTGACACGGCAGTCCATCACCAACCGGAGGTCGCCGTTCTTCTTCGCGACGAAGAACGGCGTGCATATCTCACGAGGCTGGGAGGTCCAGGAGATGAGAGAGGCTTCGTACAAGTCTTTGAGGAACAACACATATGCCCCCCTGTCCGAGCGCAAGACCGTGTCCATGTAAGGCTTGATAGTACTCATCTTCTCAGACCGCCAACTCACGTCATCTGAATCCGCCAGCATAGTCTCTGCGGGCCGTCGTAGCAACTCCCTCTCTGGTTCACCAGCCACCGAGGTCAGCGGAGCAGAACTCTCCCCAACCGCTGGGATCGACACCAGAGAGCGCTTGTACGGCCTCACTGTGGTACCCTGGTCGACGCCGGCGTAGTCGACCACGTTCGCCAGGAGCTCTCGAGCGGCTCCGCGGCAACTGTACGTACTGGAAGGTGACGGCAGTGAGGAGGCGAGCTCGAGCAGAGCCTCCTGCGAGGTGAGCTGCGCCAACGATGGCCGAAGGGGTTCTGCACCCTCCCCCGCGCAGCTCATCTCATTCAAAACGGTGAGCGCCTCGTTGACCCTCTCCTCCACCCCACGGCGACGCGCCAGCCTCCTCCGAGTACAGTACGATGAACCAGGAGCAGTAGTTAGAGTGATCGGGATCATGGGCGCAGGGAGGAGCTCACGAGGAGGAAGCCGACGAAACTCAGACACGTCTGGCCCAAGTTGTCCCGACATCGGCTGACGAACAGGCCCCCCCCCGCGGCTCCAATTCACATGCAGCGGCCTCGGTACGGACGCGGGTCGGCCCTCTCCCGCGCCGCCACCCCTCAGGGTGGGTGCTCCTGATTATTGCCCTTGTGGTTGGGCTGCCTGCGCAGCCTCTGCTCCTCCTTCGCCTTGCGAGCCTCCTTGGCGACCTGGGCCTCTCCTCGAAGGTTGTCCGCCACGTGCTGACGCAGCTCTGGAGCTATGAGGACTCCCATCCTGCGAGTGGCCCAGCCCATGTAGTGATCGGCGGCGCTGTAGTCAGCAGCACCTCCAGCTCCACTGTGGGCATGCGCGTCCTCGATGAGCTGGAGCCTCCTCGCCACGAGTTCTCCCGAACGAAGGCTCGGGATGTTGAGCTGATCCACACGCCATCGCCTCTAAGATGTGCGACAACGCCTCATGCTCATACTGCGACCTGTCCCCGTCCTGGATCTTCGCCGAGACCTTCCAGTGCTCAGACTGGGTCACGGGGGTCTGCGAGAGCGAGGCGCGGCTCCCCAGAGCGAGCGGCAACGTAAGCATCCCTGGGCACGAGGACTCTGAACAGAGAGCGGTGCCGCAACAAGCTCTTCCCAGCAATGCTCCCAACAGCGGTGACGCAACAAGCTCTTGACACTAAGGCCCAAGAATGGGCGGCAACGTAAAAGTCTCTGAACACCAGGGCTCCCAACAGAGAGCGGTTACGTAACTAGTTCTTAACGGCAAGGCTCCCAAGAGCGAAGGGTGCCGTGAGCCATTACGGGCAGGTTGCTGAAGCGCTCTTTCCGTTTCCGTGCCAGCCCCAAGTCTACCGTGCGCACGCGTCCCCCCCCCAGTACAGCGTTTCGTGGCCTTCCTCCCCCTCCTCCCTGCGTTTCACCCACCCAGTACAGCGCTTCGTGGCCTCATAGGGAGCCCCACCGAAGGTTCCCAGTGCTACCGTCTGCATGCGTCCCGAAATTCAATTTGGCATTTTCACCACACAGTACAGTGTTCGTGGCCCCATAGGGAGCTCCACCGAAGGCCCCAGTGCCACCGTCCGCATGCGTCCCGAAAGCCCAATTTGGCATTTACACCCACCCAGAAAGCGCTTCGTGGCCCCATAGGGAGCTCCACCGAAGCCTCCAGTGGGACCGTCCGCATGCGTCCTGGAAACTTAATTAGGCATTTTCACATTCCCAGATAGCGTTTCGTGGCCCCGTAGGGAGCTCCACCGAAGCCCCCAATGGGACCGTCCGCATGCGTCCCGGAAACCAAATTTGGCATTTTCGCCCGCCCAGTACAGCGTTTCGGGGCCCCATGGGGAGCTCCACCGAAGCCAAGCCCCCGGTGGGACAGTCCGCATGCGTCCCGGAAGCCCAATTTTGCACACCACCCACCCAGTACAGCGTTCCCCCCCCACCCAGTGCAGCGCTTCGTGACCCCATAGGGAGCTTCACCGAAGAAGATATTCACAATTGCGGTACCCACAACTGCATGTGGTGGGGTCTTTTGCCAGGATAATTGCTTTTGCATGCGTCTCGCCTCTGGACGCCTGGCTGGATGGCTCTTTCAGCCTCTTGGAGGCCTCTTGGGGCATCTTGAGGGGATCTTGGGGCATTTTGGGTGTTCATTGGGCAGTCTTCTGATTACCCCAGAACGTCTAGCAGTCGTTGTGTTGCGGCTTTCGGATGCCATGGGGTCGTCTAGAGACAGGTTCGGTCGGACCGAGGCATAAGATCGAGGTCGGTTCGGTGAGGGTACCCGAATGTTCTTCGTGTTTGCTTGGTGTTTTCGTGCGTCCTTGGGAAGGTTACCCTGAAGGATGTTGTTTCTGTCCTGGCGGAGGGTCTCATGTTCTCGAAGGATGTTATTATGTCCCAGGTCCGGCCGTAACGGCTTCAGGGAGCAAAACAGGAGAGGGGGGAGCGGCGATTTTCTTTCGTCGCGTGTTCCAGGGTCGAGCTCTAGACTTACCCTTACCAGACAGCCGAGGACCATTACAATACGCCCCAGCGTGCCGAGGGCACGGTGGCGGGTTTGGACGCCCTGACCGGCTCCAAGAAGATCTTGCAGGCGATGCGCGAGGACGTCGCTAACATGCGCTCGCTGTGGGAGTTCGAGCAGACCAGGATTTCTACAACGGAAGAGTTTCTGGTCGTCAGGTGGGGCGTCGTGGTCGCGACGGAGATGGAAGACGAGATCAAGGCGCTCTTCAAGAGATTGAAGGAAGTAAAGGTCGACCGCAAGTGCGACGCCTACCTCGGCGTCCAGGACGTTGTTAAGAAGTGGGTGACGTTCCTGCCGCTCGCAGGGGAGCTTCGCGACCCCGCGATGCGGCCAAGGCATTGGACGCAGCTCATGGAGTTATGCGGTAAATCGATCACGGTGACGCCCGACATCCTGCTGCGCGACATGTGGAATTTGGAGTTGCACAAATTCTCCGACGCTGTCGAGGACACGGCGGATCAAGCGAAGCAGGAATCGAAGATGGAGGCCACGCTGAAGAAGATCTCTGGCGAGTGGGCAGGTGTTGAATTCGATTTCGAGTCCCACAAAGGCAACGACGAGATCAAGCTGATGAAGATCTCCGACGACAAGTTCGAAACCCTGGAGGAGCATCAGGTTCAGGTCCAGAACATGTTCGCATCGCGCTTTTTGTCCACCTTTGAGACGGAGGTTGTGTTCTGGCAGAAGACCCTGGCCAACGTAGCCGAGGTCTCCCAGCTGCTGTCGGAGGTCCAGCGCTCGTGGGCCTTCCTCGAGAACCTGTTCATCCACAGCGAGGAGGTAAAAAAGGAGCTGCCAGAAGACAGCGACAAGTTCGTTGGTATCGACATGGACGTCAAGGAGATTCTGAAGCAGGGCAGCGAGATGACGATCTGCAAAGAATTCTGCAACCAGGGCAACATATTCCAGCGACTGGAAAAGGCACAAACTCAGCTCTCCATGTGCGAGAAAGCTCTGAACGAGTTCATGGATGGTAAGCGCAGGGCCTTCCCGCGTTTCTACTTCATGTCGTCCGCCGACTTGTTGGATGTCCTCAGCAACGGTAACTCGCCAGCGAAGGTGGTGCCCCAGTTCCCAAAGTTTTTCATCGCGATCGACAGCTACACGCTGGAGTTCCCCGACGGCGAAAAGGCCCGTCCATCAGCAACGGGCATGGTCGCTTGCGTCGGCAAGGAGTACGTGCCGTTCCCGGAGCCTCTGAAGCTGGAGGGAAAAGTAGAAGTATACCTCGACAGGTGCATCGACGCGTTCCGAAGTGCCCTCAAGTTCTTCGCCAAGGATCTGCTCGGCACGTATTTCAGCGAGGGCTGTGACAATGACGGAGAGAAGCGCGGACAGTTCATCGCCAAGAGCCAGGCTGCTCAGTGCGCACTGCTCGTGCAGCTGATCACGTGGGTGCAGCTCGTGGAGACCGGTTTCCAGGCCGTGGCCGACGGTGACGCCAACGGTGTCAAGCACGCTTGGGACAAGCAGGCAGCGTTGCTACTCAAGTTGATCGAACTCACGATGACAAACCTGGACAAGCCGACGCGTCAGAAGGTGATGTGCGCAATCACTTTAGACGCGCACAACCGAGACGTCCAGGCGAAGCTCTACCAGGAGAGCGTCACCAGCAAGGACGCTTTTCAGTGGCAGAGCATGTTGAAGTGCTATTGGAGAGAGGAGCTTGACGACGCGAACATGGAGATCTGTGATGCCAAGCTGCCCTATGGGTACGAGTACCTGGGCAATGGCCCTCGCCTTGTTGTGACACCTTTGACCGACCGTATCTACGTCACTGCCACGCAGGCCCTCCACCTGTGCATGGGCTGCGCTCCCGCAGGCCCAGCTGGCACTGGTAAGACAGAGAGTACCAAGGACTTGGCCAACGGTGTGGCCAAGGCCTGCTACGTCATCAACGCAGCACCTGAGATGGACTACGTCTCGATCGGCAACATCTTCAAAGGCCTCAGCGCCAGCGGGTCCTGGGGCTGCTTCGACGAGTTCAACCGCCTCGTGCCCGAGGTCCTCTCCGTGTGCACCGTCCAGTTCAAGTCCGTCTGCGACGCGGTGAAGTCGAAGGTGAAGCGCTTCGTGCTGCAGGGGGACGAGATCAACCTCGACCCGGCTGTGGGCTGCTTCATCACCATGAACCCGGGCTACCTCGGCCGCTCCGAGCTGCCAGAGGGCCTGAAGGCGCTCTTCCGGCCCATCACGGTCATGGTTCCGGACTTCCAGCTCATCATCGAGAACATGTTCATGGGAGAGGGCTTCACGGAAGCGCCAGCCCTCGGCCTCAAGTTCGCAACTCTATACGCGCTGAACAAGGATCTCCTCTCGCAGTCGAAGAAGTATGACTGGGGCATGCGCGCCATCAAGAGCGTGCTAGTCGTGGCGGGCTCCTTCAAACGAGCAGACCCTTCGCTCTCTGAGCAGGCGGTGCTGATGCGGTCTCTGCGGGACACAAACGTCGCCAAAATCGAAGGCGACGATCTGAAGGTCTTCATGGGTTTGTTGGCTGATCTTTTCCCTGGCATCGACGTTCCGCGCGCCCGTGATTACGACATGGAGCAAACATTGATCGAAGTCATGGAGAACGATTTCGGGTACACACACGATCCAGAAGAGTATCTGCTCCTCAAGATCACACAGCTGATCGAACTTTTGGGCATTCGCCACTGTGTCTTCCTCATGGGCAACCCTGGCAGCTTCAAGTCGGCGATGTGGAAAATCCTCAAGCAGGCCAAGACCAAGCGCGGGGAGAAGACGACCACCGTGGATTTCAGTCCAAAGGCCATCAGCACGAATGAGCTTTACGGATTCGTCAACATGGCGACCCGTGAATGGAAAGATGGAATTATCTCGAAGGTGATGCGCGAGCTTGGACAGGTACCAGACACGCATCCGAAGTGGATCCTACTCGACGGAGACCTGGACGCAAATTGGATCGAGTCAATGAACAGCGTCATGGACGACAACAGGCTGCTCACGCTGCCTTCAAACGAGCGAATCCCGCTGAAGGCGCACATGAAGATGATATTCGAGATCCGTGACCTCAACTACGCCACGCCGGCAACTGCTACGAGGGCGGGTATTGTGTGCATGAGCGATGTTGAAGGCGTACAGTGGCGATCTTACGTGACGAGCTGGGTCAAGAAGCAGGAGTATCCAGACCAAGTGAAAGAGGCGATCCAGAAGCTGTTCGACAAGTATGGGAAGGACACTCTGCTGTGGATTCTGAAGAACACCAAGATCCAGGTTCCCATGGTCGACATCAATATGATATCATCCTGCTGTAGTTTCTTGCAGAATCTCATCACGCCCGACAAGTTCGAGGTGCTCGAGTACTGGTTTATATTCTGCTTTACGTCTGCCGTAGGGCTTTGCCTATCTGAAGTGGACGGCGTCGATTACAGGAAGGCCTTCAGCAATTGGTGGAAAGGGGAGATGAAGACAATCAAGTACCCAGCGAAGGGAACAATTTTCGATTATTTCGTGAAGGAGTCGAAGCTCGAGGAGTGGATCACCGCCGTGGAAGAGATCGAATACAGCAGCGAGACGCCTATGGGTGAGGTCACGGTGCCCACCAGCGAGACGGTGGCCATGACTTATTTGATGAAGGCTCTTATCAACACGCATCACCCGGTCATGCTCATTGGCCTCGCTGGCTGCGGAAAGACCCAGTCTTGCTTGGGTCTGCTAAAGACCCTGCCGCCAGATGAGTTCATGTATTACTCCATGAACATGAGCTACTATACGGATTCCACCTTGTTGCAGACGCTGATGGAAAATCCGTTGGAGAAGAAGGCGGGGAAGCTTTATGCACCCCCTGGCAAGCTCAATATGGTTTACTTTGTTGACGATCTCAACATGCCTGCTTTGGACAAGTACAACACGCAGAGCGCGATCGAGCTGATGAAGGAGAAGCAGGACTACAATCACTGGTGGGACCGAGCCAAGATCCAAGTTAAGGACATCGGGAACACGCAGTACATGTGCTGCATGAACCCAACTGCGGGCTCGTTCATCGTTAACCCCAGGCTCCAGCGCCACTTCTGGACTTGCGCAGTGCCCTTCCCAGAGCAGGCCGCTCTGCGCACCATCTACTCGACCTTCATGAAGGGCCATTTCGAACGTCTCTCTTTCAAGTCGTCGGTCCAAGACTGCATATCGAACATCATCGTGGCGGCGCTGCAGCTGCACACCAACGTGGTGGCGTCTTTCAGGAAGACTGCCGCCAACTTTCATTACGAGTTCAACATCCGGCACATGAGCGGCGTCTTCAACGGTCTGCTCGCAGCCAAGCCGTCCGAATTCGACAAGGACGAGAAGATGACAAAGCTTTGGCTTCACGAGAGCGAGCGTGTCTATGGCGACAGACTAGTATCCACATCGGACCTCAAGAAGTATCGCTCTCTCGCTGCAGATCTCTGCAAGCGCATGTTCGGAAAGTTCAATTTCGCGAAGTATTTCCAAGAGAAGAATCCCGACCCTTTGGTGTTCGCGCCTTTCTCCAAGGGCATCAGCGAGATGGACGGGGGCGGAACTTACGACCAGATCAATGGCTTCGACAAGCTGAGCGAGCTGCTCATGGCCGCCCTCAACGAGTACAACGAAAACAACGCGGCTATGGACCTCGTGCTGTTCGGCGACGCGCTCTGCCACGTGAGCAAGATCTGCCGCATCCTCATGAGCACGCCTGGGCACCCGCTGCTCGTGGGGGTCGGAGGCAGCGGCCGCCAGAGTCTTTCGCGGCTCTCTGCATACACGTGCCAGTACATAACGATGATGATCGTCATCAGTGGCAACTACGGCATCAATGACCTGAAGACTGACCTCCAGGCAATGTACAACAAGGCTGGCGTCAAGGACGAGGGCGTGATGTTCTTGTTCACTGACGGGCAGATTACCAACGAGAAGTTCCTCGTCTTCATCAACGACCTTTTAGCCTCGGGCGACATCGCCGACCTGTACGCCGTCGACGAGAAGGACGCCATTCGCAACGCGGTACGCAGCGGCTGCAAGGGTGCAGGCATCCAGGACACACCCGAGAACCTTTGGACCTTCTTCATTGGAAGGATCCGCAAGAATCTCCACATGTCGCTCTGCTTCAGCCCCGTCGGCGACGACATGCGCAATCGAGCGCGCAAGTTCCCAGCGCTTGTGAACTGTACCGTTATCGACTGGTTCCAGCCGTGGCCGATGGAAGCGCTCTTCAATGTGGGCGAAAAGATCTTGGCCCCGATTGAGCAGCTGGGGCCGCAGGATAGCTCAGTGAGAGCGGGAATTGTAGAGTTCTTGCCGTTCAGCTTCGAGTGCTCTGATAAGGAGGCTGAGATGTTCATGGAGAACGAGAAGCGGTTCGCATACACTACGCCGAAGAGCTTCCTTGAGCTCATCAAGTTGTACACCACCATGGTAGGACAGAAGGTGGACGCTCTGGAGGATCAGAAGGACCGCCTGACCAACGGCCTGGAGAAGTTGCGCAAGACGCAGTCAGACGTAGCAGGTCTCGAGGAGGAGCTGAAGGTGAAGGCGGTCGTGGTGGCGGAGAAGGCCCAGGCGGCCGACATATTCGCCGAAGAGGTGGGCAGGGAGAAGGCCAACGTACAGGCCGAGTCAGAGAAGGCCGGCGTCGAGGAGAGGGATTGCGCCAAGATCGCCAAGGACGTGTCCCAGCAGCAGGCCTCCTGCGAGGAGGACCTGGCCAAGGCTCGAGGAAGGAACATCTGCATACACAAACTTGCGGAGGTCCGCGCGGACCTCCGAAAGTTCATGCTTATGTTGTGCTTCTTCCTCTAGAGGCAGTTCCGCTCGTCAAAGAGGCCGAGGCTGCCCTCGACATCCTCGACAAGAAGGAGTTCCAGGTCCTGAAGACCTTCACGGCGCCCCCGGGAGGTGTTGGGGAGGTCTGCGAGGCTGCAATGCACCTGCAGGCCGGCATCGACCCGAACATCGATGTCGACAAGAAGGGCGCCCTGAAGGATGGCTCCTGGAAGGCGGCGGTGAAGATGATGGGCAATCCAGAGAAGTTCCTGCAGAATCTGAAGGACTTCGAACAAGAAACTACTCACTGCGTGGAGCTCTCCACATGTGCTTTCAATTTGTATGGACCTTTCCGCTGTGAGCGCCTAGGCGCGAGAGACATCGAATACAAACGGGTTTGAGTACTGATAGACTGGGAGTGAGTCTAACTGTGAATGACTTGGAGTGTGAATGAGCCTCAGTAGTACGAGTGAGTCTGTGCGCATGAGCCTGGGTCCTCCTGGGGCCAAAACTCCTGGGGCTTCCTGGTGCCTCCTGAAGCCTCTTGGGGCCTCCTGGGGCCTCTTGGGGCTCCCCTCCCTGTGTCCGTCTGAGGCCTCCTGTGGCCTCGGGTGGCCTCCTGGGGCCTCCTGGAGCCTCCTGGAGCATCCTGGGCATCATGGGGAGGACTCGTGCCCCAGGAGAGGCCCAATCTATAGGAACAGACGCACATACAACACTGCAGATTGGAGCCACAGGAGAAGGGCAATCTATAGGGGCACGTGTAATTCACCAAGCGCTCTTACCCCAGGGGAGGCCCAATCTATAGGAACAGATGTGTAACACTTAGGACTGGACACGCAGGAGAAGGACAATCTATAGAAACACATGCAAAACACACGAATTGTGCTCCAGAGGAGGCACAATCTATAGGAGCATACGTCCAGCACATGGGATTGGAGCCAATCCCGTGGGCTTCTGAGGCCTCCTGCTCCTGGGGCCTCTTGGGGCCTCCTGGGGCCTTCCGGGGCCTCCTGGTGCCTCCTGGCGCTTCCTGTGGCCTCCTGGGGCTTCCTGTGGCCTCCTGTAGCTTCCTGGAGCATCCTGGAGCCTCCTGAGGCCTTCTGGAACTTCCTGGGGACTCCTGGAGCCTCGGCCTCTTGAGTCTTCCTGTGGCCTCCTGATGCCTCCTGGGACCTCCTGTTGCCTCTTGGTGGAGCCTGCTGGAGCCTCCTGTGGCATCCTGGGGAGGATCCGTGCCTACGAGTCTGGCCACCCAAACAGGCAAACCGATCGAGACATCCTCAAATTCTGGCCCCACTTTGGGACGAGCATGAACGCCTCGCTCGAGACATCCTCCAAATCTGCCCCGAAAGCGGAGGATGTTGGGCCACAAATCAAGCAAGCCGCTCGAGACATCCCCGCCAATTTGGCGCGAACGGAGGAGTGCAATACCGCCAGGCGGCTCCCCATTGGGGGTGCTGAAACCCGCGCCTCGCTCGAGATTCAGAATGTGTTCCGCCATCATCATCATCATCATCATCATCATCATCATCATCATCATCATCATCATCATCATCATCATCATCATCATCATCATCATCATCATCATCGTCATCATCATCATCATCATCATCAGCAGCAGCAGCAGCAGCATCAGCATCAGCATCATCATCATCAGCATCATCACCATCATCAACATCATCATCATCATCATCATCATCATCATCATCATCAGCAGCAACATCTGCAACATCAGCATCACCATCATATACCATAACATAGCATAGCACGCCATAATATACCATAACACGGCGCATATCACAACATTACATACCACCTCATATCATCATAATGTACCATAACATAACACTATTGTCTGCGTGGGGCTCTCCATATGTTCAACTATTTGCACGGACCTGTCCGCCATGAGTGTCTAGGCGCAAGAGTTTTCGAAGATACCCTGCTCGAGTATTGACGGTCTGGGAGTGACTCTTATTATGAATGAGTTGGAGCGTGAATGAGTCTCGGTAGTACGAGCGCGTCTGTGCGCATGAGCCTGGGGCGCCCTGGGGCCTCCCGAAACCTTCTGGGGCTTCCTGGGGCCTCCTGGGGCCTCTTGGGGCCTCCTGGGGCCTCGTGTGGCCTCCTGGGACCTCCTGGAGCCTCCTGGAGCCTCGTGGGGCCTCCTGGGGAGGAGTCAGGGGAGGCCCAATCCATAGGAACAGACGTACATAAAACACTGCGGAATGGAGCCGCAGGAGATGGGCAATCTATAGGAACACACGTACAACACCAAGGACTCGTGCCTCAGGGGAGGCCACATCTATAGGAACATACGTAAAACACTTAGGATTAGATACAGAGGAGAAGGACAATCTATAGAAACATACGTAAAACACAAAAAGGATTCGTGCTCCAGGGGAGGCACAATCTATAGGAGCATGCGTGCAGCACATGGGATTGGAGCCATTCCTGTGGCCTTTTGAGGCCTCCTGCTCCTGGGACCTCTTGGGGCCTCCTGGTGCCTTCCGGGGCCTCCTGGTGCCTCCTGGCGCTTCCTGTGGCCGTGGCCCCCTGTGGTCTCCTGGAGCCTTGAGGCCTTCTGGAGCTTCCTTGGAGCCTCTTGGAGCATCCTGTGGCCTCTTGAGTCTTCCTGTGGCCTCCTGATGTCTCCTGTGACCTCCTGTTGCCTCCTGGGGCCTTCTGGAGCCTGCTGGAGCCTCCCGTGGCATCCTGGGGAGGATCCGTGCCCACGAGAGTCTGGCCACCACAACAGGCAAACCGATCGAGACATCCTCAAAATCTGGCCCCACTTGGGGACGAACATGAACGCCTCGCTCGAAATGTACTCCAAATCTGCTCCGACAGTGGGGGATGTTGGGCCAGGGAACAGGCAAACCGCTCGAGACATCCCCGCCAATTTGGCGCGAACGGAGAAGTGCAATACCCCCAGGCGGCTCCCCCCCGGGGAGTGCTGAAACCCGCGCCTCGCGCGAGACATCCTCAGAATTTGCCCCAGCATCATCATCATCATCATCATCATCATCATCATTATCATCATCATCATCATCATCATCATCATCATCATCATCATCATCATCATCATCATCATCATCATCAGTAGCAGCAGCATCATCATCACCATCATCATCATCATCATCATCATCATCATTAGCATCATCATTACCATTCTCATCATTAGTATTACCATCAGCATTATCACCATCATCATGATCCGCATCTTCACCATCGTCATCATCAGCAGCATCATCATTTTCATTAGCATCATCATCATCATCAGCATCATCATCATCATCATCATCATCATCATCATCATCATCATCATCATCATCAGCGTCATCTTCATCACCAGTCTGGGTATGAGCAAATCGCAGTATGAGGGAATCTAAGTAGGAGGAGACGAGGAAAGGAGAGGATGAGGAGTATAAGGCGTCTAAGTAATAACAAAAACTTCATCCTAGGACACGGGGAATAACATCGCACACCATAGCATAACTTTTCATACCGCACCATAGCATGGGGAATCATATTTGGAGAAGAGGGAGTAGGAGGTGTCCAAGTAATAACAAGAAGCCCATCTTAAGATATGGGAACATACATTTACTCGGCGAGGACCCAACCATGTGCAGTTGTGAGGGACTCAGTTCTGAGAATCGTCTTCGTTGGTGCTCTCTGTAGGGCCTCGAAACGTGTGAGGAGTGTGCCGAAATCGGGCGGGGGGGAACCATGTGGACCCTCCCACTACGGCCTTCGGTGGGGCTTCCGATGGGGACGCGAAACGTGTGAATGGTGTGCCGAAATGGAGCGGGTGGACTCATGTGGACCCTGCCACTGGGGCCTTCGGTGGAGCCCCCTATGGAACCACGAAACGTGTAAGTGGTGTGCCGAATGTGGCGGGGGGACGCACATGGACGCTGCAATTGCGGCATTAGGTGGACCCCCCTCTGGGGGCACGAAACGTGTGAGGGGTGTGCGGAAACGTGGCGGGGGGGCCGCATGTGGATTGCCACTGGATCTTCGGTGGCTCTCTATGGGGGGAACGTGTGAGGGGTGTGCCGAAACGGAGCGGGCGAACGCAGGTGGTCTGTGCCACTGGGGCCGTCGGTGGAACTCTTTATGAGGCATGAAACGTGTGAGGTGTGCCGAAGAGGAGCGGTGGGACATATGTAGACTGAACCACTGGGGCCTTCCGTAGAGCTCCCTATGGGGGAACGGTGCGTGTGAGGGGTGTGCCGGATGGGGCGACGGGACGCAAGTGGTGGAACTTCCTATGTGGGCGCGGGGCGTGTGAGTGGTGTGCCGAAATGGGGCGGTGGGGCGCATGTGGCCGTGTCACCGGGGCCTTCGGCGGAGCTCCCTATGGGGCCACGAAACGTATGAGGTGCGTGCCGAAATGAGGCGGCGGGACGCGTGTGGACTGTGCCACTGGGGCCTTCGGTGGAGCCCCCTACGCGGCCACGAAGCGTGTGAGGGGTGTGCCGAAGTTGTGCCGACATGGTTGACATGCGGAGGGCAGAAGCAAGGATGGTAGGTGGGAGTGGGGGAAGGAGGAGGAGAAGGAGTGACGCGGAGCGCTCGCTGTCCATTTAAAACGGGGACCAAACACCACAGGATGGTTGGGAACTACATAAACATACGCTTACGGAGGTTCGCATGGATTTCTTGGTTCGGCGCTAGGTCCACTCCCTGGCGCGTGAAGCGCGCCAGGGGCGGCGCCGGAGGCGCTGCCAGGGGGTGTTCAGCGCCGATCCAAACGAACACACGTGGATCAAAAGTTGGCATGTTTCGCTGACTTGTCGTTTTCTAGGAGTACAAGTTCCAGATCGATGAAGGAAAGGTGCCCCAAGCCAATATCGAGAAGGCGAGGAAAATCCAGATTGCCCTTGGCGACCAATTCACGTATGACGCCATGATGAAGAAGTCGAGCGCAGCGGCAGGTCTCTGCGCCTTCATCATCAACATCATCATGTACTACGATGTGGTGATTCAGGTGGAGCCAAAGCGCCAGGCCCTGCGGGAAGCGACCGAGACGCTGAATAACGCCAACACGAGGCTCGCCGAGGTCAAGGCCCTCGTGGCACAGCTGGAGGCTAAGTTGGCGAAGTTGATGGCCGAGTTCGACAAGGCCATGGCCGAGAAGAATGCTGTGATGGCCGAGGCGCAGAAGTGCCAGACCAAGCTCGACATGGCGCAGCGTCTCGTGGGCGCCCTCAGCGCCAACGGTGTCATCTGGGAGCAGACCGTCGACCGCACTGCGGAGGAGTTGGTGTTCATCCCTGGTGACACTTTGGTTGCATGCTCCTTCGCGTCCTACGTCGGCGTCTTCACGCGCTCTTACCGCGAGTCTTGCGTTCAGAAGTACGTCGACTTCCTGCGCTCGAAGAGTGTGCCCTTGGGCCCGAAGCCCGATCCTCTCAGCATCCTGGCGACGGACGCCCAAATGGCTGGCTGGGCCTCGCACGGACTCCCGTCCGACCGTGTGTCCTGTGAGAACGGCGCCATTGTCACGAATTCGCAGCGGTGGTGCCTGATGATCGACCCGCAGCTACAAGGAATCGTGTGGATCAAGAAGAAAGAAGAGGACAACCAGCTGCAGATCACCCGCATGGGCCACTCGAAAATGCTCAACACGTTTGAGGTGGCCCTTGACCAGGGCAAGTCCGTTCTGATTGAGAATATGGGCCAGACGATCGACGCAGTACTGATGCCAATTGTTTCCCGGAACACCATCAAGCGTGGGAACAAGAAGGTCGTGAAGCTAGGCGATAAGGAGATCATTTTGAAGGACCAGTTCAAGCTCTTCATGCAGACGAAGCTGTCCAACCCGCACTACCCTCCAGAGATTCAGGCAGAGACCACGGTGATCAACTTCACCGTCACCGAGGACGGCCTGGAGGACCAGATCCTCTTCTTGGTCGTGAGGCTTGAGCGCCCCGACCTGGCCAAGAAGAAGACCTTGCTGATCCAGCAGCAGAACGAGTTCAAGGTCACACTGGCCAACCTGGAGGCCCTCCTGCTGGACAAGCTTGCCAAAGCCGAGGGCGACATACTTGACGACACGGAGCTCATTCTCAGTTTGGAGGAGGCAAAGAAGACCTCGGACGAAGTCAAGGAGAAGGTTCCGAAGAACAGAAAGCGACATTAACATACATTTTCGGAGGCCCGATCGGATGTAGTAGGTCGGCGCTGGGGACGCTTGTCGCGCTTCGCGACCTGGGGGAGGGTGTTCCAGCGCCGACCCAATAATTCCGCACGGACCTCCGAACATTCATGTTTATTCAGTTTCTCGGATTCCAAGGTCGTCGTTGCAGTCGAGACTGAGGCCAAGATCAATGAGACCTCGGAACTGTACCGCCCCACTGGCATCCGGGGCTCCCTGCTTTTCTTCTTGCTTGGCGACCTGTGCAAGATGCACACGTTCTACAAGTACTCCCTTGACTCCTTCGTGATGGTGCTTACGCGCGCGGTGAACAGCATTACATTGCGGAAGCCGAAAGTGATAGAGCCTCCGAAGGAGGAGAAGGAAAAGGCCGAGGGCGACGAGGAGGAAGCAGAGGAGCAGGAAGAGGAAGATGAGGAAGAAGACAAGGGCGATGACGAAGAGGAGGAAGAGGAGATCATCGAACTCTCTGGCAAGGAGCTGAACGATCGAGTGCAACTTCTGGAGAGCACCATGACGTACGCCGTGTTCTCCTTCACGCGGCGAGGCCTCCTGGACGTTGACAAGATTATAATTTCGACGATGGTGGCAATGAGGATTCTAGTGAAGGGAAAGAAGATAACCCGGGAAGAGTCCAATATGCTCATCCGTGCGCCGCCGGATCCCAACGCGGGGGTCATGCCAGACAACGCGAAGACCTGGCTCACGGAGACGCAGTGGGCACAGCTGAAGTCCCTGGAGGGCATGGAGGCCTTCAAGAAGGGGGGCAAGCTCACGGAGTCGGTGGAGCAGGACTCCTTGGGTTGGAAGCGTTGGTTCGGAGAGGAGCGCCCTGAGACCGCGGACCTGCCCAGGAGCGCCCGCGACCTATCGCCGTTCCACCGGCTCTTCCTCCTCCGGACGCTGCGCCAGGACAGGATCGGGGAGGCGCTGAAGCAGTTCATCCTCGACAACCTGGGACAGGACTACGTCGAGCAGGCGCCGTTCGACATGGAGGCCGCGCTGGAGGAGTCGACTTGCATCACGCCGTTCTTCTTCGTGCTGTTCCCAGGCGTCGACCCCACGCCCACCATCGAGCAGCTCGGCAAGAAGATGGGCAAGACAGAGGCAAATGGCATGCTCGTCAACATCTCCATGGGGCAGGGACAGGAGCAGATCGCCCTGAACGCCCTTACCAAGGCCGCCAAGGAAGGCGGCTGGATCATGCTGCAGAATATCCACCTCATGCAGGCTTGGCTGAAGCACTTGGAGCGCGCGCTCGAGGTCATCGAAGAGTTCTCGCACGAGTCTTTCCGCTGTTTCCTGACCTCGGAGCCGCCATCAGCGTTGCAGGGCCGCCTTTGGGAATTGATCCCGGAGCCGATCTTGCAGCGGTGTATCAAAATTGCCGACGAAGCGCCTTCTGATCTGAAGTCCAATCTGCGCAGGGCCTATTCGAAGTTCAGCCAGGAGAGCATCGACGCTTGCCTGAAGCCCAAAGAGTTCAAGGCCACGCTGTTCGCCCTGTGCTTCTTTCACTCGCTCATCTCTGGTCGCATCAAGTTCGGGGCGCAGGGCTGGTCCAAGAAGTACCCGTTCAACGACGGTGACCTCACGATCTGTGGCCAGGTGCTCAAAAACTATTTGAACAATTCAGAGAATCTGGGCACGGAGGTGCCTTGGCCAGACCTGCGCTACATCTTCGGCCAGATCATGTACGGAGGCCACATTACCGACCCATGGGACCGCCGCGTCAATAATACATACCTGGATGTTCTGGTCACCCCAGAGCTACTGGCGGGTGTAAACCTGTGTCCGAATTTCAAGTCCCCAGACGCATCGAAGCTGGATTACCACCACTACGCGAAGTACATCGAGGAGCGTTTCCCGCCCGAGGTACCAATGATGTACTGGCTGCATCCTAATGCAGAGATCGGCTTCCTGACCAACCAGGGCATTGGCATTTTCGAAACCATCTCGGCGGTGACGGGGGGCGGCGGTGGCGGAGGCGGCGCAGACATCTCCGCAGCGGGGCCGATCATCACCAGCTACATGGGCCAGTTGCCTAGCAACCTGGACATGATCGAAATCCGCAGCAGATTGAAGCCCGAAGATTTCACACCGTTTGTCATTGTGTCGCTCCAGGAGGCAGACCGCATGAACTTGCTGCTGAGCCACATGCGTTTCTCGATGATTGATCTTGAGAAGGGCATCGGCGGGCTGCAGAATATCACGGAACACATGGAGTCCTTGTCTGAAGATTTGCAAATGAACAAGGTAAATTCGCTTTGGTCGGAGAAGGCGTACCCTTCGTTGAAGGCGCTGTCTGCGTGGTTTGCTGATCTGCTCGAGCGCGTCAGCCAGATTGTGGAGTGGACCTCGAAGGCAACGCTTCTGAAGTCGATCTGGCTTGGCGGCCTCTTCAACTCAATGGCGTTCCTCACCTCGAACATGCAAGTGGCCGCGCGCGCAAACAAATTGCCCCTGGACTTCATGAGGAACCGCTGCCGCTTCTACAACACGCGCGACTTGGCCGAGATTACCGGCGTCCCCGCGCAGGGCGTGAATGTCCACGGCCTGTTCATGGAGGGTGCCGGCTGGGAGGATGGCAAGGGCGAGGACGAGGGATACATCACAGACAGCAAGATGAAGGATTTGCACCCGCTGATGCCGATCTGCAACGTCTTCGCGGTGCACATCGACGAGATGAGTTGGGCCGCGATGTACCACTGCCCTGTCTTCTCCACCACCCTGCGCGGAGCTACCTATATCTTCCAGGCGAACGTCCGCATGGACCCAGACGACTCGGAGACTCGCTGGATCCTTGCGGGCGCGGCGCTGCTCACACAGGACGATTGAGCAGGTTCCTGACACAAGGCCCGGGCTCATCAGAGCTCAGGCAGTCTCACCTCTGTCTTGCGGACGCCGCGGTGTTCAGAACTCCTTTTGGGGCGGCCTGCACCGCCGTATTTACACACGGTGCGGGGTGTTCGCAGGACTTGCATGCTTTTCTTCACGGGGGACCTAAAAGCAAATCTCCCGTGCTGCGCCATCACCAGCGGGCCTTCGGATTGACGGTCTCAGGCAGCTTTCGTCGCTGCTGCAGCGGCCGCTGCCAGATCCAGAATTTGTGCGCGGATTTTGCCCGCCCCCGCGTCTTCGTCGTGTTAGTTTCCAGCGATGGGGCGTAAAGGGGCGGGGTCTTTGGCGTCTCCCGCCAGTCAGACCCTCTCCTTGATTGTTTTTTATGTGAAGACAAGGAGCTGACGGTAAAATCATTGGCTGTCAGATGTGCGTGATGTTGAAAACCTGACGTGACCACGTCCCGACATCTTCAGACCGGGGGCAGCTAGGCAGATGGCAAGAACGTTGATGCAGCTCAGAAGCACAGCAGAGCTTGTGAGCCAAGCCGCAAACCATCTGAAGGGAATCCCGAAACATTCAAATTGCACATATGTTGCCCAATGAAGTGTGCGTGCGTGTGTGTGTGTGTGTGTGTGTCTGTGTGTGCGTGTGCTTTCGTCGCCCGACTTCTTACGCCGTGTCGCTGCGCCCGTGGCCGCGATGCCAACAACATGTGTGCGTGTGCGTGCGTGCGTGCGTGCGTGCGTGCACGTCTTGTTCTAACTCTCCAGTCTCTCTCTAAGATCCCTTCCTTCCTCCCTCCCTGCCCTCCCGCTCTCCCGTTCTCTCTCTCTCTCTCTATGTATTCCTTTCTCGTCTCTCTCTCTCTCTCTCTATATATATATAGGTATCCCTCTCTGTTCTCTCTCTCTCTCTCTCTGTTCTCTCTCCCTCTCTTTTGTTTGCTCTCTTTCATTTGCTCTATCTCTCTCTCTCTCTCTTTCTGTTTCTCGCCATCTGTCTTTCTTCCTTTATGTATTGTTGTTTATTGCTCTCTCCCTGCTTTCTCTCTCTCTCTCTCTCTCTCTCCCTATGCCCTCTTTCTCTATGAATATATATCCCTCTTCTTCTTATTACCAGTTTAATTGTTGGCTGTGTCATCACCACTCGTATTAGTTCTATGATGATGATTCGTAGTATTCGTAGTAGTGTTAGTATCGTTACTGTTCCTCTTATGTTTGGAATGTTGATTCTTATCCTGGTCATTACTATTATCATGATTCGTTTATTTCTCTCTCTCTCTCTCTCTTTCTCCCTTTCCTCGTTCTCTCCTGCTCTCTCGCTCTGTCTCTGTCTCTGTCTCTCTCTCTCTCTCTCGGCCTCTTATGTTCTCTCGGCCTTTCGTTCTCTTCCTCTTGCGATGTCCCGTCGCCCTCCCTCACCCCCGCTCCCCCTCGCCCTGCCTGCCAGCGCGCCAGGTGCTCGTCTCCAGGGCCTTCCGCCTCGTCCGCCGGCAACACCTGGCCGTGGGCCTCCTGGCCTTCGAGTAGGCCCACTGCCAGCCCCCGAGCGCGTCTGCGGCCGGGCCCCGCGGCCGCTTCGAGCCCCAAGCTCGCGCGCCGCTCCTCGGTCGGCGAGCAGCAGTGGGCCGTGCAATGTCAGGCTCGCGTCGGACGAAAGCCTCGCCCGAGAAGGAACGGGCGACATCCAAGCGTCACGCGTTGACCCTGCGCGACAGGGCGCGCGGTGCGAGGGCGCGAGCCCCGACGCGGGGGCGCGGGCCCGCCAAGCGCCGTTGGTCCGCTCCGCAGCGAACGGAGCAGGCGGGGAGGATCCAGGACAGCGCTGGGGGTGGGGGATCCGGGGCAGGGGGGAGCACATCGACCACCCCATGCTGCAGCACCCACTCCTCGCCGGTGGGGGCCCGGTGGTCCGCCACGCCCAGAGTCAGACGAAGCCAGGACGAGGACAAATTCAGGTGAGGATCACTTGAGAATCTCTGAGATCCGCGGCCTTCTCCGAGCGTTGCGGAACGCTCCTGAACGGATTTTTCCTTGTCCTAGCCCCGTCCGATTGGAGCGGGCGGATTCGGTATCGGGGGCCTCTTGCCGATCTACCGGCTATGTGTCGCCGATTCCGGCTCGATGTTGCTGCCCCCCCACCCTGAGCCGGTCCCCCCCGGAACGTTCCATTTCAGGGGAAAGGGGGGTACAGTCGAGGCGCCGAAGCAAGGACCCTTCATGGCTCAGAAAGGGGCTTTGGTTTTCGGGCCGTTCTCTCATAATCATCTACGCCGGGGAACCGAATAATCGCGGCCGAGGGTCGCCGTGCCCACGGAAACCCCTTCGTCTGTGCGCCAACGGCGTGTTGTATCGCGCGCACAAGATGCCCCTCGGCGCGCGTGGTCGACACTCCACGCCTGTGCGCGCAGTCATGGCACGGGGGGGGCCGCGACGCGAGCGAGCTCCTGCGCGTGAGTTGCGCGTCGCCGCCGCGTTGGCCCGCGCAAGAGTCGCGGCGCGGGGGATGGCCGCGACGCGCGCGTGGTTCTGCTTGCGCACCGCGTGGCGCCGCTGCGGTGGCTGGCCACGTCCAGCGCGCGCGGCTGTGCTTCTCCCCGCCCGGGCCCGAGGCGGTATGCAAGTTTCGGCCACAGGTCGTTGCGCGTGTGGCGGGGGGGGGGGGGCACGTGCGCCCCTCCTCCCGCGGAGGCTTTCTCATTCGCATACGCTGCGCGGTGTTTCGCATTCGCAGACGCGATGGACTTTCGTGCCATCCTGCCTGGCCAGGGAATAGCCAGCCATGCTACTTGGCAGGAGGCGCTGGCTGGCCTTGGCAATAACGCTTCCATGTGCTGACGGATCTGCGCGGCGCGCCTCCGCTGCATTCCTGGGAAGGCCGCGCAGGCTGTTAGGGGGGGGGGGGGGGCGCGCTGGCGAACCGCCGCCCTTGCCGCTCGCCGCGTAGGCGCCAGCGAGCTCATGTCGGAGGCGCAAGCACCAGACCAGCCATTTCTGGAGGAGCACGGGTCTGGGGGAGCTGGGGGCGCCCTCCTAGATGATAGTCCTCTTTTATGTAATTTACAGCAGTTGCACCTGAGACTTCGTACTGTTGTGATGCTGTAGGGTAGCAGCGACGGCCTTGGAATCAGCCCTGAAGGTGGCGCGAAACCCCTCGTTGGACAGGGCCAGAAATCCCACTCGACCCGGCACTGGGAAGGCCGTCTCAAGCTAACGCCACAACTACGACAGCTATGCCAAACAAACATGAGCGTGAAACCCATAGCACCCCGATGTCAGGACACTGGCACAACATGCATCCTGCACCTTTGGCTGAGCCGGCCAAGCGCTTCCATGAGGACGGCACGCAGGCATGGGGGCAATCGGGTGCGAAACAACGCAAACGCTTGACATATGACAGCTTGACGTGCGACGAACGGCGCCACATCGACAAACTAAGAGAAATATCTTACAGACCCGCGCCTCGCAACAACGATCGAAGCAAACCAAGCCACCACGCAGCGCGCAGCAGGGAGACTGCGCCACTGCGTGTCCGAGGGGGCGCCACCCCGACAGCACTTGAACGTCATGTGATACGATTTGAACCGGAATGCGGGGACCCTTCGACGGTCAAAAGGCAGGGATTGCCGCCAGCAGCCGGCCGTCGGCGCGAAACCGTTGCAATGATGCGGAACGAGCGTACGCGGCGCTGCGAACCTTCCCCGTCCAACCCTGACCACGCGGGAGACGACGACAGTGAGAATGCAGAGCAGGGGTGGGGGAGGGGTACCAGGAAAGGACATCGACGTAGGTGGTGAGGATGATAGAGGCGACGTGGAGAGGGGGGGAGCGGGGCGCTAGAAATATGGAGGAGGAGCAGGAGGACAGGGAGGAGGAGGAGGAGGAGGAGGAGGAGGAGGAGGAGGAGGAGGAACGGGCATGCCAGACACGCCCTCGCGGGACCGCAGGGTGCGCTGGTCCTCCGCAGTGACGGCACGCGAGGATGAGGGAGCCAGGGGGTGGCGCTCGGCCGCCCAAAATTTCCCGTGCAACCCTTGCGCGTCGATTTCTTGTCTCTGCCAAAGTGGTTTGTGTCCCCCCCGGGGCGCCTCCGAAGTGGCAGTTTCTTTCTCCACTAGCGGAGCACTGCTAGGTGAGCTTTCTTCGTCCGCTAGAGGAACACTACTAGGTATGCTTTTTTGTCCCCCAGAGGAACACTTCCGGGCATGTCAAAGGGGAGCCGGACTGGTTCCGCCTCTGCGGCCATGTCGCGGAGACCGGGGGCAGTATCGTTCAAGGGGGGCACTATTTGGTAAGGCTACCGCGGCGGTGCCTGCAACAAACTTGCAGGGATATTTTGGGAGTCCTCCGGAACCCGTGCCCGCCTCCGAATGATTGCCCCCTCCCCTGGCGGCGCCCTGTCTTGCGGGGGCCCGAAAGCCGCGACGCCGCTGACCGGGCCGCATCCTATGCCAATGCCCGCCGTCCGGTGGCAACGGGCCGGGGCGGCCTCATACCCCGTGCCGTTTGACGGCTTGCACGCCCCCAACTTCTGGCCGCCATGCACGGAGACCCCTGGCCGACGGGAGACGCTGCTCGAAGGCGGAGAAACAGGCAGAACGACCACCCCCTGCTTCGACACCAGCGACCGCGCCAAATTCCTACGCCCACAGCGCGTTCAACGCTCTCCCTGATTGCGCCTCCACGCAGCCCAGCGAGCGCGCCTCCACGCAGCACAGAGGCACATATTCATCTGGCATTGCCTTGGCAGCGCGCGAGTCACCGATCGGGAAATTCCCGCGCGCGCGAACTTCGCAAGCATAGAATGCGCCGGGAACGATTTCCGATGAGTTGCCAACTTCTAACGAAACGTGGTTCTAACTTCGCGGCTGCAGGCCCTGGCGGACCTAGCGGCAGCGCTCCGCATCCAGGCGCTACGAATCGGGGCGACGTTGCACGGACTGGAGCGCATGCTGAACCGAGCTTGCGAAACCGATGGCAACTAATCATTGGTCCGAAAGATACCCGTACCCGGGGCCAGCCAAGGTGAGATGGGCCGTCCTGGGGACTGAGCGCTTGCTATTGTGCCCGGTCAGCTTGCCCCGCGCGCCCCAGTGCAGCATCCGTGCGTCATGGCGCAACAGCGCGCTCGATGGTTGAGTGTGATTGCAGCGACAAGCGCTGGTTTTTGTTGGGGACGTCTCGCGGCATCGTGGTGCGCGCGCGGCTCAAAGCCGCCCACGTACGTGGTGGCGCCTGTCCCAATCGATAAAGAGTTGCATTTCCTCGCTATCCTGGCAACCAATGCGTCTGGGCCTGCCCTGAGGAACGACGTTGCAACGTCGCGCCCCCAGGGGGCCGCAGCGTCCACGTCGGGGACGGCTCTGGAGGACATGATATGTGCTCGAAAGCGTTTTGGGTCTGCCGCCACCTCGGCTAGGCACGGGGACCTGCCTGAAACCATTGAAACATACCCGGACCTAGCTGGGGTGGAGTTGCGGCGCCCCGGCTAGGTACGGGTATTTTTTTTGGTTGTCATGGCGCAACCGCGCCTAGCTGGGGTGATCCGCAGACGGCCGTCCAAGGGGGGCGGCCTCTGGCGACCTCGCCCAGGGCACAGATTCGCGATGTCTCTGCATCGGGCAATTCGCGATAGTGCGGCTGTCGCGCAATGACGTTCGCCCCAGAGTTGTTCGCAAGCGCCCCCGAGTGCTCGTTGACTCCTCAACGCCCGGATGTGCGTCTGGGGGCGCGCTTCCGCAGCGGCTGGTCTACATCGACAACAACTGGCGCAGGGTCGGGCACTCCGCCGATTCGAATCGAACGCGCGTGCGAGCGGTGCCAACGTGCGCTCCGAGAAGACAGCGGTCTGCAATGCTCGATCGGCTGCCGTTTCTACACTTGTGCAGCCGCCGCCAGCTGCGACGAACCGCCCCCCCGGCCCCTTGCCACCCTGTCTAGGTAAGGGCACGGGTATCTGGTATCTTTCGCGCTCGAGAACTAAATTCAGGCGATCGCCCGCGCCACTCGGAATCGCGAGCGAACTGCCGTCTGACACTGGCACGTGCGCGCCGATAACATGAAATCGCACCTGCGCTGTGTGGGGCGCTCGTTTGGCGCGGCGTGCGCGACGCAGCTGAGCAGGCAATGTCTGTCAGTTTGCGCGAGCCGCGCCCAACAGACCGCGTGATGGCTCAGCTCAAAATGGCCCACTCGCTGCGAGCACAACGACCCCCGGCGCGATGGCCGATGCGCTGGTCGCGCTCATCGAGAGAGCGGGGGCACCAGGAAAGCAAATATTGGATCTGATGGGTACCCCGGGGGGGCAGGGGCCACAGCTCCCCCAGTTACCGCCGGTCGGAGCACTGGTGCGGGTCCTGCTGCATCGCGCTCAGCGCGGGACCTCGGCGCCGATCCGTCCGCGCCCGCCCGGCGAACCGCCTCCGGGCTGGACTGGCAGGCGGGCCGCGTCTCCGCCGCCGCCCGCCGCGCGGAGCAAACGGGCTGGCTCGCCCTCGAGCTCGTCCTCGCGCTCGTCGTCTTCGTCGGAGGCCGGAAGTGGCAACAGTGGCGCCCGCAGTGCGCTCTCGCTCCCCGCGTCGCAGCGCGGGGCTATGCGAAAGCGACGCTGCGCGCGACGTGGGCGCGGCCGCGGCGATAGTGTCCAGGAGGGGCAGCGGCCCGCGACTCGGCCCGGCGCGGGAGCTGGCAAGGCTGCTGTCCGCGATCGCCGGGGGCGCGTCCGCGCCCCCGTCGGAGTGAATTAACGCCGCGCGGCTGATCGCCGCCCTCGGCAGCGGCCCGCGCTCGCGGGCGCCCCTCCTGTCGGGGGTGCGCTGCCGGGTCGGCTTTGCCCAGGCCTCGTTAGGCATGCGGGCCAAGGGCCCCCCCGCATACTACGGGGGGGATCCTGTTCTGAAGCCTCTTCTGGCACAAAGATGCATTCTCGAACTGCCTGGGGCACGTCAAGACCGCGCGCCTAATCTTGAACGCTCCCGCTGGCGCGCGCTTGCATGCAGCCGCGCGCAGGGCGAAGCAGGACATTGTCAAGCGCTCGAGGTGTGTTGCGAGCCCGCGCAATTTCATTGGGCGCGATTTGCTGGCGCGAATGGTCACGCATTTGTCGGGCGCGGCGGCTGGGGACCAACTCGCGGCCCTTTTCTTCGTAGCGTGCGCGCTCATGCTCCGCCTGCCCTCCGCGGGATTGCCCCCCGCCCTCATGCTGGGCGCGCCGCGGGGGGGGGCGTCCGCGACGGGGCGCCCCGTCCTCGCGTTGCGCAAGAACGAGGCCCACATTCACTTGCCAAGGCCTAAGTATCGGGAGACCGCGTCGGTGGTCGCCCGCAGTTGCTGGTGCACCGCGTGTAAGGACACGTGCCCCGCGCGTGCTCTGGCGCGGCTGACCAGCCAGCGCGGCCCCGGAGAGGCCCCTTCCGGTGGCATCTCCAGCCGGCGAGCGTTGTCCGGCCTGCGCGAGGCGCTGGTTGCGTTAGGGGCACCGCTGGCGGTCGAGTTTGGCACGCGCGACCTGCGGCATGGCCACGCCCAGGATTTAGTGCGCCGCGGCGACCGCCTGCGGGAGATCCTGGCAGGCGGGGATTGGCGCGGCCCGACATTGTTCATCTACGTGGATAGCGAGGGCCTCGAGCGCACGGCTGACGGCTGTGCTCGAGGCGCACCTTGCGGAGTCGCCCAGCGACGATGGCGAGCGCTAGAGGTCGCGGCGGCAACGTTTTGGCGCGGGCGCCGCGCTTAGGCCAGCGGCGCGACGCATCCGTGCATGCGTGGTCGGCATTGGGGAGCGGTCCGACCGCGCCGCCCTCGGCGCGGACACCGCGCCATGCGGGTGTTGTCGGCATTGGGGTTGCTGCACCCACGTGCCGCGGTGGACGTGCCAGCGCGGGGTCGCGCATGCCCCGGTGCTGGCAGAGGCCGCGCGCGGCGCGGCACCCATTGTCGCGGCGCACCTGGGGGGTCATCCTGTGTGTGCGCCAACGGCGTGTTGCATCGCGCGCGCAAGATGCCTCTTGGCGCGCGTGGTCGACACTCCACGCCTGCGCGCGCAGTCGCGGCGCGGGGGGGGGGCCGCGACGCGAGCGAGCTCCTGCGCGTGAGTTGCGCGTCGCCGCCGCGTTGGCCCGCGCAAGAGTCGCGGCGCGGGGGATGGCCGCGACGCGCGTGCGGTTCTGCTTGCGCACCGCGTGGCGCCGCTGCGGTGGCTGGCCACGTCCAGCGCGCGCGGCTGTGCTTCTCCCCGCCCGGGCTCGAGGCGGTATGCAAATTTCGGCCGCAGGTCGTTGCGCGTGCGTGTGTGCGTGTGTGCGTGTGTGCGTGTGTGTGAGTGTGCGTGTGTGCGTGCGTGCATGTGTGTGTGTTGTGTGTTGTGTGTGTGTGTGCGTGTGCGTGTGCGTGTGCGTGTGCGTGTGCGTGTGCGCGTGTGCGCGTGTGCGCGTGTGCGCGTGTGCGCGTGCGTGCGTGCGTGCGTGCGTTTGCGTGCGTGCGTGCGTGCGTGCGTGCGTGTGTGCGTGCGTGCATGTGTGTGTTGTGTGTGTTGTGTGTGTGTGTTGTGTGTGTGTGTGTTGTGTGTGTGCGCGTGTGTGCGTGTGTGTGTGTGTCCGCCTCCCGCGGCGACTTTCCCTGCCCACGCTCCCAAGGGTTGTTGCGCCCACGTGCCGCGGTCAGCGACAGACATTGGCCCAGGCTTGTTTAAAGGCATTTCGAGGGAATGATCCTATCAGGAGGAAGGCGAAGCTTTTCGGATAATGGGCGATCTAGAGACGCAGATGCTTCGGACATCAGGGACACGATCAGCATTGCCAGTGCCTAGTGTGCTGGCAATGGTCCGCAGGCGGCCTTGCCCGGCTTCGTCGGCGCCTACTGTGCCGCTGGGCTAAGGCTCGGGGGGTCACGCCCCCGCGGGGCCGAGTGCCTGCCGTCCGTTGGCAGAGCGCCGCACAGGGCGCATTGCGTCGCAGGGCGTCTCACATGGCGCCCTGCTTCGCACTTTCCTGCCGTCTCGTGGCAGGACGCCTCACAGGGCGCAGGCCGCGTCGCAGAACGCGCAATCGGCCCCTCCAAAACACTCTCTCCCTTTCCCCGCCCTCCCCCCCCCTTCCGAGGAGGAGTAGGAGGGGTCGGAGGGTGGAGTTATACATATACTCATATGTGTTTGTGACCGACTAGTGGCCGAGAGGAGAGAGAACGGTCTACCGAGACTGTCCACTTGACTCGCTGCGGGAATGGGGAGCCGCAAGAGAAGTGGTGTCGCGAGGACCGGTCTGCTGGCGCCCCTAGCTCGCTCGAGGGATGGTTGGCCGTACCGATGCGAGAACCCGCGAGAGAAGTGGTGTCGCGAGAACTGGCTGCTGGCGCCCCAGGCTCGCTCGAGGGATGGTTGGCCGTAACGCCAGTGCCGCTGCGAGAACCGTTCAACGGGCGGCTTCCCATGGCGAGCTCTCGACCCCGTCCCAAAGGAGTTGAGGAGCCCTCCGTTCTCCCCCTCCCCCCTCCCTCCCCCTCCCTCTCTCCTCCCTCTCGCCGGCTCTAACCGCCACTGCTCAAGACAAGGTCAGCTGGCGGCGCCTACTGTTCCGTCGGCATGGATTTCGCCCAGGGGGCCAGCGGTGCTTACTGCTCTGCTGGCCAGGGGCGCCGCGGGCGGTGCTTACTGTCCTCCCCGCGCGTCTCGCCGGCTCAAACAGCCACTGCTCAAGACAAGGTCAGCTGGCGGCGCCTATTGCTCCGTCGGCCTGGCCTTCGTCCGAGTGGCTAGCGGCGCCTACTGTTCCGCTGGCCAGGGGCTCCGGGCGGTGCTTATTGTCCTTCCCGCGCTGGCCCCGCCTTCTATACACGCCACGTGCAGTTCGACATTGCGCGCGGTGCAGTGCATGCGCGCGAGCACGGCTCATGAAGTCAGCCACGCTTATTGTTTCGCTGGTCAGGCCGGCTGGTGGTGCTAACTGTCCCACCGGCGAGTTTCGTTGCCTTTGGATTCCCCCGCGTCCTAAATCACGCTCGCAATCGGTCGCGTTTTTTGAGCGGTTTTGTTTGGCCCTGCTGGTGGTGCCTATATTCCCACCAGTGGGCGCCGTCGCTGGTGGACGCTCGGTCGTCCAAGTTTTTGGCGCGTTGGGCGCGTGCCAAGGCACAACCCTCAGTGGCCAACAGGCGCTGTTGTCCTGGTAGCGCGGCCCCGCTGGTGGCGCTTACTGTTCCACCGTCGGGCGCCGAAAAATACGGATGCACGTCGTCTAGTTTTCTGGGGGGCTTGGCCAGCGGCGCTTAGTGTTTCGCTGGTCCAGTTCTCTGGGCTGCCCGCGGCCCCCCAGGTGGCTATGGGCGGCCCCAATGTCCACCGGCGGTCGCCGCAGCCTCCGCGCGCGCTCGCCAGTCACACCTTGCACGGGGGGAGTCCGTGCACACAGGGGTCAAACTCGGCGCAGCCCGTGTGTCCGTTGTTCCGCCCTCCCGGCATGTCTCTTCACCATGGCACCGACCGCTTGCAGCGGCTCTTGTGGGAGGTGCGCGCGGCAGACGCGCAGGCCATCTGGGTTGGCGGCATCACGGGCTCACGGCTGAATGTCGATCTGCTCAAGGAGCTCGGTGCTTCGGCTGCTTTTCTGGAGCGTTGGGAGAACGGCCGCTGCCTTCAAGTTGACAGGGGGCTCACACCACAAGCTTTTCCCAATCACCCGTCGCTGTCGCATCGCGCTCGGCTCGCTGATTTGGAATGGTCACGTCTGGAACGGTTGGGAAAGTTATTTTTCTTCCAGGCACTAGGCGACCCGCGCAATTGCACGTCGACCCGCGCGCGGCTATCGTCAAGCCGCGGGCGGGCGCCAGAGACAACGCGCCAGAAGAGGAGAGGGTCAAAGTTCATATTATCATGGACCTTTCCCGGAGCAGCTTGAACACCTCCTTGCCCGACCTCCCAGTGAACTACGGGACGGTTGATCTGGCGATATCGCGCATGTCCCCGCGGAGCTTTTTGTGCGTTGTGGATGCGGCGGATGCGTTCTGCAACTGGCGCGTCTTGCCTTCCGATGCGTGGTGGCTGGGTTTCTGGTCCCTGGGGCGACAGCAGTACGGCATGTACACATTCCTGCCGTTCGGCTTAAAAACAGCACCTTCCACCAACGATTCTAGATTGAAGGAGTTATTACGGCTGTTGCAGCTGCGCGAGAACGCCGTGCTTACAGATTTCGTAGACGACAATCTGGGCGCACAGTCTTCCGAGGAGGACGCGTGGCTGGAGCTGGACGCGTCGTCCGGTTCTTCCTGAAGATTGGCGTCCCGATCTCTGCAAAAGAAGGCGGCATCCGGCCGCCCTCTCAAGTCCAGACGTGGGTAGGATGGGTGTTCGACACTCTGAACAACACGCTGTCTGTTGAGCGTGCAAAGTGGGACAAGTGCCAAGCCCTCATTCTCGCCGCCCCGCAGGCAGATTCAGACGGAACCTTGCTGGCGCGAGACCTCGCAGCCACCGCCGGTCTGGCCAACCATATTGCGGAGGTGTTCCTGCAAGGCAGGCGGCGACTGTATCATGTCTGGGCGTCGCTGAACGCAGCAAACGTGTACGCGCTGTGGGCTTGCCGCCCAGCGGCGAACCCCGTTGTCCACTTGAGCCCCGACGCGCGCGAAGCTTTGAGGTGGTGGCACCGCGCTCTGGACCGCGCCCCGGAGCGACCGCTGCACAGTGAAGCTGGGCAGCTTTCGCTTTGGGGGCCGAAATCCCCCGAGTTCCAAGATTGGCGTCGCTTGGCGGCTGCCGGCTGCCTGCGCGCCATAGAAACTGACGCCAGCAAGCTGCGCGGATGGTCATATAATTTGTGCAGCGCTGGCGTGGTCAGGTCCGGCGTTTGGCCGGCAGGTTTCGCAGATCTCGCAGACAACGCAGACGCGATAAATTTTAAAGAGTTGTGGGTCGCGGTCCAGGCCGTTCAGGCAGAACCCGAATGGTTGCGCGGATGGCGCGTCGTGTTTCGAATTGATAACACGGCCGCCATCCATTGCGTGAACTTCCGCTCCGGTCGCATACCGCACCTCGTGCAGTTGGCCGAGGAATTCGAGCATGCAGAACGCTCGGCCGGGTGCTGGTGTTTGGCCGTGCACTTGGCGGGCGCAGCGAATGTCATCTCGGATTCCGGTTCCCGAGACTCAGCATTTGCGTCTCGATGGAATGCAGACCCTTTCCGCGAGGCTGTGCTGAAAGCGTCGGTGATGGACCGCATCACCAACGAATTCGGCCCATTTGATTGCGATCTTTTCGCGGACCGGCTGGGGGTCACCGCGAAAGCGCCGCTCTGGTTTCACCCCGAGAACACCGCGTTTGAGGCGCACGTGTTAGGAAACAAGGTCTGGGCACACCCGCCCCGCGCCTTGGCAGGGCATGCCATTTCGTTCCTGTCCAAGGCACTTGCCGAAGGCAAGTGCCGCGCTGTTTTTTTAGTTGTGCCAGAGGACACCGGAGCACCTTGGTTCCGATCCTGGCAGCTTAACAAGTGGCGTAGGCTTGCTCGCTGGCAATCCGGATCAGATCTGTTCCGCGCGCCGCGTCCGGACGGCGGTTGGGTCAGAGCCCCAGCCACGGATCTGCCCATCCTGCTCTTGGGCCGTTCGGGAAAACATTCCAACGTGTACTCGTCCGTCCGTTTGCATTCTCCGCTGCTTCTCGTCCTCTGTCCATCTCGCGGTCACCTCGCTCAGTCCGACTGCGCGGGTCATGTCGATCCCGTCTTCGACGCAGCCGCGCAGGCTCAAGCTGAGGTCGCAGTCAGCGCACTGCACTTCTGAGTCGATTCATCCTCCCTCTTCTGCCGCAACTGCCCGGCTGCGCCCCGGCCATGGCTGCGCCAGTCGAGCCAAGCGCCTTCGGCGAGGCGGAGGCGACGGAGTGGTTCAAAACAGCCATTCGGCAGGGCGGTGCCTTGGAAGCAGCGTTCGCCGAGGCAGTAAAATCTGTCTTGCAAGCGGACGTGGCCTCGGACGTCGGGGAGATTTCCCACGGCGATAAAGGCAACGGCGGAGACGTTCGAGACGCAGAACGGGCACACCGACACGGTGATCGCTTCCCTCGAGCAGCGCGTCATAGCCTGCGAGGAGTTCGTAGCCAAGGCTAGCAAGCAAGAGGCTGACCTGGACGCGGCTTTCTCGTGGCGCGAGGTCGAGCGGTCCACAGACGCGCAGGAGTGGTTGGCCGGGTGGAACCGTCTGTTCGTGGACAAAGACTGGCTGGCCAACGTCTCTGCGCAGATGGCAGACCCAGCAATGGTCAACGCCGTATCCGTGTGCATGGCCAACCCGAACAACCCGGATGCGCAGAAGATCAAAGACGCGATCGGTCTGCGCAACGCCCCCAAGACCACCTTGAGGGAGCTGTGCCTGTCGTCGTTCGGCGGCAGTCCAGACCGCTTTCGCGCGTTCATGTCGGACAAGGCGGCGGCCCGGGACGACAAGGTTGTCGCCGCCATCGCCAGGAAGGCGTTGGGCTTCTTCCTCCTGCTCGAGAACCAGCACGTGAACGCAGCCACGGCCAAGCCGACCTCGGCCGCCAAGTTGACCGCCCAGAGGAACGAGATTATGCCTCTCTTGTTCGTTACCCTCAAAGCCATGCGCCGCAAGGCCAAGAAGGCGTCGGCACGGAACAGCCTGGAGCACATCATGCTGTGCTCCGAGTTCAGCTTGGACTGGTCTCTGGGCCTCTCGCGCCTCGCCGTCGCCCCCTTCGTGATGGCTCCGCCCGGCCCCGCCGTCACGGCAGTCGTGACTTCCGGCTCCCCCGAGGGCGCGCCGGGCGCGGTGGGCGGGCCCGCTTGCAAGCGCCTGCGCGCAGACCCAGCCCAGGGCGGCGGCGGGGCGCCGGGGGGCAAGGGCAGCTGGGCGCCGCAGCAGGGACTCCCGCAGCAACACCAGAACCAGCCGAATTCCTTCGGCCAGAACACCGGCAAGGGCGGCAAACCCCAGGCGCCGGGCACCGGCAAAGGCGGGAACAACAACCACAAGAAGGCCAACGTGACGGCGATGTTGTCGGAGCTCGGGAACATATGGGCAGGCAGCAGCCGGCCGCCGTGCAGGCTTTCGTCGACGCCAAGCACCAGGGCTCGCCGGACGACAAGGAGGCGATCAGGTCCATCATGGGCACCTATTGCCGCCACTGTTTGCTCGGGAGCTGGAGGCTCGTCCAGCGCAGCCGGGCCCAGCGCAGGCAAGAGGGCGGCGTGCCGGCCACTCCGTGCAGCCGCTGCGCACAGAAGGGGATCGTGGCATTCCACTGGCAGGAGGAATGCAGGAGCTAATGCGCCTGCCGCGCGCGAGCGCGCAGCCCTCCGGCAAACCGAGCGGCATGCCTCGCCCCTTCTCTGACTATCTCCCCTGTCCCATCCCCCGCTCGCTTGGCTGGCCGGGTAGCCTGGTGAGCACACAGCCGTGCCGGTGACAGCTGCAGAGAGGCCTTTCGCGTGGCATCTTATATTGTATAATCCGCAAGCCGGCTTCCCTGCCCCATGCGGGCGAACATGCCCCGTGCTATTCGTGCACGTTCGTTCAGATACAGCCTGCGCGCTTGGGCCGGTTGCAGACGAGCCATTTCGGCCCTGGCAGGCGGACCGCGAGGAAAAAACAGCATCGCTTCGGCGGGGGAAAGTTTCCAGGCCCCCCCTCTGGTCAGACGTCGTCGTCTTTGCGGGGGAGGGCCCAGACCCCGTTCTTGCCAGTCACGCGCTTGCCTATAACACCCGCAGGCCTACGGCAAACCCCGCCAGGTGCCAGCGCTGTGGCGTTGTTTGTTTGTTCGTCGGAACCCTGCCTGACACGCAGCAGAGATGGTCGCGCGCCCGCGCGCGCCGAGTGCGCCGCCGCAGATTTCCGATGCAAGGTAACGAGAAGCCTTTGCCGTGGGACTCCCGTGGACCACCCTTTTGGCCAAATTTCAAGGCGACTCTCTCCGTCCGTCTCCCTCTCTCTCTCTCTCTCTCTCTCTCTCGCTGTCTGCTCATTTCACGCATACGCATGCACGCATATATGTATAAGAGAGGGAGAGATAACGTGAGGGGGGGGGGCGAGAGAGATACCGGGAGCGGGGTGGTCTACGAGACACGGGCGGACAATCGGCCTTGTGGACAGGCTTGCACAGGTGCCCATGCCACGCGGCCCTGGCGGGGCTGTGGTGCCAGGAAGGAGGAGGCGGGCCCACTGGGGTTCCATTCAAAAACTATCACTAATTTTACGGATCTCCAGAAAACGCCTTGGACATGGCCAGCGGGCCCGCTCGTGATCCGGGCCGGGATCCCAGGTAGCCAGCAGTTGTGGTGGAATCCGACAGGTAATCAGGCCCGTGTGGGTCCGCTCCTCGAGGCTTCCGGCGGCCGACTCCCGGCTAGGTCTCCAGATAACGTTCTGGGCGAAGTCGCTGGCGGGTCCGCTCCAGGGGACGCTCCCCGTCGGCACTGATGCCACCGGAAAGCGCTCGCGAGGCACAGCGAGAGCGCGGCTTCCTTTAGGGGCGCAGGCGACGCAGCGCCGTCTTCCAGCCCAGGGCCCTCTTCCCACCTCCGCCCTTTTCTCCCGCCCTTGGCCTCCTTCCCTCCCCCCGCCCCCCTCGCCCCTGCAGCCGCCCCGGCTCAAGACCTTGACATGCACCTGTTGAGCGCACCGCTGTCTGGCCAGCCAAACTCTCCGGCGCCATGGGGTGTTGAGTTGCTCTCAGCACCGTTGCCTGATAGTCGGTGGGCCGTCCGGCCTCGACCCGGGGCCTTGGATGCGCCTGCCTTGCTGGCCCGCCCCGCGACCAGAGGGCCGCGGGCACTTGTCGGCGCCCCTGCCGCGGGCGACGTGGCCCTCCAGTTCGCGCTGGTTCGGGGCGACGTTCTGCAAACATCCACGCAGACAGGGGCATTGTCCGCGCGGGCCGCGCTCATGGACACCGCGCAAGACATCCTGCGAGCCGGGTGGGGGCAAAGCACGATCCGGACGTGCAGCCGAGCGTTGTCCGTGCACGTTCACAGCTGCGAACAGCAGGTCGATTCCAACATCCTCCCGTTGGATTCCCCGGATAAGCTCATGCTCCTGTTCGCCAGCATGGGCGGCATGGCATGGCAAACCATGCGCCTCAACAAAGCAGCCGTCAGAGCGTGGCACCAGAGCAACAACTACAGCCAGGTCTTCGACGATTGCTGGGACGATCGGGCTTTGCATTTTTGGCGAGGCCTGAAAAAGAGAGCATCCCGCGCATCGCACCAAAAACGTGCGATTAGTGTTGAAGAGTGGGCGCTGTTTTGCACGGCCAGGGCGGCAACAGGCACGCCGGCTGGGCGGAGGGATGCAGCTTTCGCGTCGTTTTGCTTTTTCGGCTTGCGCCGCGTTTCGGAGGCGATCAACCTCCGCGTTCAGGACGTGCATTTTAAAGCCTCGTGCGCGTGTTGTTCCATCAGGAAACAGAAGAACGACCCGCGTGGCAAAGGCCAATGGTGTTTCATTCCGTTCAAGGTTATTGCTGGGCTATCCCCGGCGAAATTCCTGCAAGATTGGATGGATTGGAAAGCCGCGACGGCAGCTCACGTGCCTTCCCTATTCTGCACCGCGACAGGTTCCCAACTCCAGCCTGTTAGCGCGGATTCGTGGCGCAAGGCGGTTTCGTCACACTTTCAGCCGCTAGCACGCATTCGTTTCGTAGAGGCGGAACAGAATGGTTCACGTACGTAGCAAAGATCCCCCGCACGTGGTCCAACGGCAAGGTGGGTGGAATTCGGAGGACGTCATGCGTCATACGTACGCCGACACATCCCCAGATACGCCAATGCAGCGTTTCGTCGATAGCCTAGCAGCCTCTTCTGCAGAGCAGACGACGGACCGGCCGACCAAACGCTTGCGAGAGAAGACGGCATCCGCGCGCTCGCTCGGAGGCCCGCAAGGAAAAAAGACCGCCGGCTCCCAACACACACCGCTTCGCGGAACACCGCCTCAAGGGGGCCTGCTTCGAGGGGTGATCACCAGGTCGTCTCCTGGCGGCCCCTTCCCTGGTGGGCTGGGGGTACATTCGCCCCCTTGATGCTGGGGAAAAGCATCGACGACGTCGTGAGATTGATCCTATTAGGAGGAAGGCGAAGCTTTTCGGATAATGGGCGATCTAGAGACGCAGATGCTTCGGACATCAGGGACACGATCAGCATTGCCAGTGCCTACTGTGCTGGCAATGGTCCGCAGGCGGCCTTACCCGGCTTCGTCGGCGCCTACTGTGCCGCTGGGCTAAGGCTCGGGGGGTCACGTCCCCGCGGGGCCGAGTGCCTGCCGTCCGTTGGCAGAGCGCCGCACAGGGCGCATTGCGTCGCAGGGCGTCTCACATGGCGCCCTGCTTCGCACTTTCCTGCCGTCTCGTGGCAGGACGCCTCACAGGGCGCAGGCCGCGTCGCAGAACGCGCAATCGCCCTCCCGCCCCCCCTGCTTCGCGCCGCGACGCGCGCGTAGATGCGGCGAGGGATTCACATGCGGCCCGTGCGCGGCCGTTTCTGCCTCAGCTCCCGCTTCCCGAGGCGACGGCCAGCGCGGAAGTTTCGGGGGGTGATCACCAGGTCGTCTCCTGGCGGCTCCTTCCCTGGTGGGCTGGGGGTACATTCGCCCCCTTGATGCTGGGGAAAAGCATCGACAACGTCGTGAGATCTGGCCCAGATTTCTTGAATGATTTGTTGTTGATCATATTTTCGGCTGAAGGGTCACGGCGCTGTCTCCGTCGGGCCTCGTCCCGGAGCGGCGGAGAGCTCTGTCGAGGTTCCGCCCGCCCCCTAGGGTGCCCCCCATGGTGCCGGTTGCAAGCTGCACCCTCTGCAAACCACACCTTTCGGAGTCGCCGACAGATACGCTAGCTGATTCGCCCCGGTCGAGGTTGATTAGAAGGTCGAGCCTGTCAAGGGTGCCCTTGTGTCCTACGTTTCGTGACCCATGCCGGCCTTCTGCATTCCTATGGCAATGTGGCGCTCGGAAGGGTCTTGTGTCCTCTCGCGAGTACTTCCCATTCCACTTCGATTGTAGCTGATTCGCTAAACCATTTTTGCCATCCCTCCATTTCGTCCGATTCGGCAAGCGGGGTCACCACCCGAGGGGCCGCCACCTCCTCCTGGAGACCGAGGATCGAGAGGATCGCAGCGGTTCTGGGCGCCTCTGAGATCCACGTGGGGTTTCTGGGGGGTGCAGGGGGGACCACTCCCGCGTAATTAGAAGGTGGCGACCCTCCCGGTGGTGGCGGCACCCCTGGTGGTGGCTCCCCTTGGCATTGCCTGGAAAGGGGGGGGAATGGGGGCAAAGTAGAGGGGATGCGAGGGCGCGGGCCCCTCGACGACGGCGACGGCGACGGCGACGACGACGGCGGCGGCGACGGCGACGACGACGGCGACGGCGACGGCGACGGCGACGACGACGCCGACGCAAGGCAGGGTGTGGCACCTTACAGTCAAGGGACTTGAATGAGGACCACTCTGGGCTCAGGAGGGGTCATGGTCTTCGGGCCGTTGGATCCATGTCGAGGAGCCTGTTTGTGGCCGAGGCTCGCCGTGGCCAGAAAAGCCCCCTCGTTCCTTCTGCAGCGGTCCTTATGTTGGAGGCGCTTACAAGGGATGGCATGAGGGGGGTGGGCTTTTGAGAAGGCGGAGGGTTGCAGGGGCCTTCCTAGAAGGCCCCAAAGGCATCTGAGAAGGCTCCTTAGAAGCCAGGCGGGTTTCTGAGAACCCCCCCGTCTCCTAAGCAAACCTGCCGCCTGCTTACAAGCCCACCACCCCCTTGCGCCACCCGCTTTTGAGTGCCGCCAACTTCGCTAGCACGATGGCTGCAGAGGGGAGCGGCCCCTCTTCAAAAGCACCGTCCTGGGCGTCTCTCTGACAGGCGGGGAGGGCCTTTCTCAGAAGGCCGCGCGCTCTGGACCCCCGCGCCCGCCTTTGCTCACTGCCGCCGCCCGCTCCCGCTTGCGCTGCCCGGTCGTGCCGTGGCGCTGGAACTCCTCTCTTCGCCCCTCCCTTTGCCAAGTTGTAAAAAAGTCACGGCGGGAAGTGTTTGGCCATTTTCGGTTTTGGGGGCCCTTGCCAGGCCCCAGGACAGTAAAACATCGACTCGGGATGAACAAAAACGCCCTGGGGAACGGGTCGGGACCTCTGGGGGCCGGGTATTAAAGCAAATTAATACTTCACCCGTCTTGAAGCAAGTCAAGCCTTGGACGTTTCGGTCAGTCGCTGGGTCGGCTACGTTTTTCTCCCCTCGCTCTTCGGCATGTCCTCCTCTCCCTTCTCCTTCTCCTCCATCCTCCTCCCTCCCGCCTCATCCCTCCTCCCTCATCCATCCCTCCTCCCTCCAGTCGCTCTTCCTCCTTCCTATTTTCTCCCTCCTCCCTCCTCATCCCTCCTTCTTCTCCTCCCCTCTTCTTCCTCCTGCCAGCTTCCTCTGCTTCCGTGTCGCCTCCGCGCCGAGGCCGCCGCTGCAGGGACTGGCTCCACATGAGGGAGCGTGTGTGTGTGTGTGTGTATGTGTGTGTATGTGTGTGTGTGTGTGTCTGCGTGTGCGCGCTTGTGTGTGTGTGTGTTGTGTGTCTGTGTGTATGCGTGTGTGCGCGTGCGTGACTGCGCGTGTGTGTGTGTGTGCATGTGTGTGTCTGTGTCTGTGTCTGTGCATGATGTGCCTGTGTCTGTTCACGTATGTGTTTGTGTGTGTGTGTGTGTGTGTCTGCGTGCGTGCGTGCGTGCGTGTGTGACTCGGCTACCGCTGTTTCATCCCTGTTCTTGTCCTGTTCAGGGTCCTTGTCCTGCCTGTTGCCTCGTCCTTACACGCTTTGCCATTGCGGGCCATCACTGCGTACCCTCCTTGCTGCCTGGACTGCGCACTCTTCGGCACACCTCCAGGGTACCCTTCCCCCGGTTCGTCTCCCCTTTTTCCACGTCGCGTGATCTGGGCGGGCCGCGCGTCTTTTCGCCCGACCTTTCTACGCCGCGCCGCTGCGCGCGGGGCCGCGACTGCGTGTGCGTGTGCGTGTGTGTGTATGTGTGTGTGTGTGTGTGTGCGCGTCTGTGTGTGTTTCTGTGTGTGTGCGCGTGTGTGTGTGTGTGTGTGTTGTGTACATGTGTTCGACCTTCTACGCTTCGACGCTACGCGCGAGGCCGCGACGCCAAAAGCGTCTGTGTGTGCGTGCGTGCGAGCGTGCGCGTGCCCGCGTGTGTGTGTGTGGTGTGTCTGTGTGTTTGTGTGTGTGCCTGTGTGTGTTTGTGAGTGTGTTTGTGTGTGAGAGAGAGAGAGAGAGAGTGCGTGTGTGTGTGTGTGTGTTGTCGGTGGCGTCGCTGGGCCGTTCTGGGCAGTAAATTGTTTGTTTGCCAAGTGTGTCTGCGTGTGTGTGTGTGTGCGTGTGCGTGTGCGTGTGCGTGTGTGTGTGTGTGTGTGGTGGAACCCTCCGGCATGTTGCTGACCGCCCAGTCCACCCAGGTGCTTGCGCCAGGTGGAGAGTCGCCTAATCGTTTCGTGGCCTATCGTTTCGCGACGGTGCGGGTGTTCTCCCCGCCTGGCCCTCAGAGCCTCGGATCCGAGCATCCCTGCATGCTTGCACGCGCTGACTCCGCCCGCCTCACTGAGTTGGGTGGCTTGCGTGCCCGCTCACTTTGCGCAGCCACCCGCTTGCAGCGCCTGGTGGGATTCAATATTGCCTGTGCCCCATGCTACCGCCCGCTATGGTGACGTCACCTGGCAGGCAGAGGTAAACATTTGTGTATGTTCTACGCCTGCCGTCCCCCAGTGGGCGTGGCCCGAGTTTCTGGTCCAAGCAGCACGGGCATCGCTACGCTCGGCTGTCCGAGCACATCGGCCCCTGCGCGGGCCCCCCCTTCCGCCGGAGGGAGTCGTTCCCCCCCCGTGTGATCCTGTCATGGGACCACCTGGAACCCTTCGGGTACTTACCCGTCAAGACTGAACATGGATTCGGTCGTTGAAAATTCTGCCCAACGCCTGCACCACCACCGTGGTCATTTCAGACAGCTTTGTCCGCAATCTTGGGGCAGCGCGCTCACGCCGCGGCTGATGCCGCGGTCCGCTGGTCCGCAGCTGCCTCCCAACAGTAAGGGAACAAGTTGCGTCCACCGCCGACGTCACCTCCTCGATGTTGCGCTTTCTTAAGTATGTCTATTTCCTTCTGGGGGGCACGCTTCTTTGTCACCTGCAGTCGTTGCACGGTCTGTCCCCAGATTCAGGGCAGGGAGTGGGGTTTGCGCTTCCTTCTTGTCACGCCCCCCGATTATCACTGGCCGAGTCGTCCGTGCACTGGCCGTGCGGCGTGGCTATTCCGCAATTCGGGCCACCCTTTCGATGGCCCTGTGGCATCTTCATTCCCAACCATCCTGCGTTGTTGGGTCCTCGTTTTGAAGAGAGGGCGTCCCGCGTTACTCCGTCGTTCCTTTCCTCCTACTCGCCCTCCTCCCCCTCCTCCCACTCCTCCCGTCCCTTGCACCCCTCACACGCTTCGTGGCCCCATAGGGAGCTCCACGGAAGGCCCGACTGGCAGGGTTCGCATGCGGTTCCACCCCCAATTTCGGCACACACCTTACACGTTTCGTTCCACCGTCAGTGTCAGCACACCTCTCTCACGCTTCGTGGCCCCATGGAAAACTCTACCGAATTCCCCCGTGCCAGGGTTCGCATGCGGTTCTACCTCCACTTCGGCACACTCCTCACACGTTTCGTGGCTTCGTAGGGCGCTCCACCGAAGGCCCCAGTGCCAGGGTTCGCATGCGGTTCCACCTTCATTCCGGCACACCTTTTCACACGTTTCGTGGCCCCACAGGGAGCTCCACCGAAGGCCCCAGTGGCAGGGTTCGCATGAGGTTCCATCCTCATTCCGGCACATCTCTTAATTGTAATTGACGCGCCCCTCTTGCTGATCCCGCTGCTGTTATTGATTGCTGCAGAGGTTGCAGCCGCTGTTCCTTCCTTTTCTTTCTCCTTCACCCTCCTCATTGTTTCGTCCTGTCTACATCCTGCATCCTCCGTCTTCCGTTTGGCATTAGTCATCATTGTCACCATCTTCTTTCACCTCTCAGCAGAACACCTGCGTTTCGGAGCAAGCTGCACATGGGAGCCACGCCCTCTTCGTGGTCTCGCGTAGGTCGAGTAGGTGGCGGCGCGTCGAGCTGCAGAGGGCAACGCCGCAGCTGGCTCAGACTGCTCCGTGGTCGAAGAAAATCCGAGGACGCCGTGTTCAGTCCGTGCTGTTTTGAGCTGTTGTTGCGCTCTCACACGTCATCATGCTGTTAAGATCAACGCCCACCAAGAAATGCGGACAAAGAGGAGGTATCACCTTCCTATCATTTGCAGCCGGCTTCTTTCTTTGCGTCCTCTGCGATGCCTTGATTATTTCGGCCCGTGCTTTTTGTACAGCCTTGACCCCTTGCACATTGCATGAGGGAGTGTGAATTTGGAAGAACAGGTGAAACATAGGGGAAACAATGGCGATAGGGAATCGGAGAGGAGAGTATGGGCGGAATGAGACAGAATGGAGAGGATTTTGCACCCTGGCCTGTCCCCCTGAGTGTCCGCCGTCGTGGTGGACTCCCTTGCGAAGCTGACCTCCACGTCTGCAGTCTGGTCAGGGGCTGGGACAGGTGACAGCCCTGGACTGCTTGGGGGGCCTGTTGAGGCTGGCCAGGACTTCCTGGGTGCCTTCCTGTGCGCAACTCGAAGCTTCACCAACGCCGCCTCCTCTGTCACCCTCCCTCCCTCCTTCATCACCTCCCTCCAATTCTCCTATTTCCATGTCGACTGATTTGCGCCACGGCCCCATCGCTCCATTCCTAGAGGGACCGCGCTCCGGCGCGTGCGTGAGCGCCCGTCCGTCCTCCCTCCTCGCCGCCCGCTCTTGCATCAGCCTTTTCGGCCCTCGTGGTCAAACTGCGAGCGTGGGGGGCCCTGGGGGCGCCGGGGTCCCACGGCTCGCGGCGGCCGTGCGGCGCTCCCCCGCCATGGAGGCGGGAGCGGGTTTCAAAATCCTGACGGGCGGACGCCGCCGCCGCCCTCCGTGTCGGTCCCTTTCTCCCTCCCGTCCCCTCCCCCTCCCCCTCCCACGGGCTTGATGTCTGGAAGGGGTAGGACACGCTGGAATAGCAGAACTCATTCTTCAGACAAGACATATCTTCATGTGTACATCCATGTCAAACGCCTACGGCGAATCACCGCCGACCCCTGCCTTTGGAATCGCCCATGTGGCCGAGCGTTGTGGCAATAGTTCAACCAAGCTGTCGGACCATGTGTTCCCCAAACCATTGTGGAAACCCTTCGGGGAACACTTGGGGGAGGATGACAGGGAGGACGAGGGGGAGGAGGAGAAGGAGGAGGAGGAGGAGGAACAGGAGGAGGAGGAGCAGGAGCAGCAGGAGCAGCAGGAGCAGCAGGAGCAGGAGAAGCAGGATGGGGGGGGGCATCTTGGGAGCCTCTGGGGGGCACTCTTGGGGCCTCCTGGAAGCTTCCTGGGAGCCTCTTGGAGGCATCTCGGGGGCCTCCTTGGGCCTCTTGGGGGCCTTTGGGGGCTTCTCGGCGTCTCTGTGGCCGTCTGAAGGCATTCTTGGCCCGTCTGACGCCGTCGGAAGCTGTCTTGGAGGCATCTCTGGGCCGACTCTGGGCCCTCCTGGGGTGCTCAGGGCCGTCTTGGAGGCCATCTTGGGCGTCTTGCAGGCCTCTTGGGCCGTCTTGGGGCCGTCTTGGCGGCCTTTTGGGCCGTTCTGGTGCCATCCTGGAGGCCTCTTGGGCGATGTGGGGGCCCTTGGGCCGTCTCGGGCCGTCGGAAGGCCGGAAAGAAGCAAATGCCCAAATCCTGCAACGACCGAAGGAAAATCCATGATTTTGGTCTTGTCGGGCCTTCCTGGAGGTCCTCTTGGAGGCCTCTTGGGCCGTCTTGGAGACCACTTGGCGGAGCCGTCGCGTCGACCTCTGCGGGAAGCTCTGCAGAGGCGATACCGTCTACACGGCGGCTCACATTTGCCGGTGGGCAGGTGGCGATGCAGGTGCGTTGCAGCTCTTGGGCGCGGGCAGCGTGGAGGCGCCGCGCTTTGTTCAGGCGGCTCAGCGATCTTGGCGAGGTGGCGTGCAGGCGCCTGGTGGATCTACACTGGACGGAGCTCCGTTCCCTGAAGTGTCGCCTCAAGATGTTGCTAGGAGCCGCTGCGCTCGAGACCGCAGGGGATGACGAACCTGGACTAGCCCCACCTGTGGACGACGGGGTGCAAGACGGCGCCGGGGATGCGGCGAGCCTCCTGAGATGCATCGACCGAGTGGGTGGCCTCCAATGCGTCCCAGATGCTACGGCCACTGGCCGGCAACAGGGCAGCTGTGCGCAGGTGGCTTTGCGAAAGCAGTTGCTGGACGCTCGGAAGAGGCAGTAGGTGTTGGTGGGCATGCGTCAGCAATGGAGTCGTGTAAAGGGGCCAGCGTGCGCGGTCACCATGTCCTTGCAAAGGCGGAAAGGACTTGGCCAAATTGGCACACCTTCATCACGCGCAAAGGCGAGCTGGTGGACATGACGGTGGTGTGCCCTGCCGACGTGGCAGCCCTGTTGCGTACTGATGTGCAGGCGGTCCTGCGGCAGCGGTGGACGGAGCAGGAAGAGTACCGGACGCTGGCACCCGCCCCCTTGCTACAGCCTGTGGTGGCGCAGATGGCGGCCAGGTGTTTCCCAAGGCACGCTAATGTGCGGCTCGTGGACGATGAACAAGCTGTCAGAGTGCAACATCACGCCCAAGAATATTTGCCTGGGCTGTGGTATTTCCAGTGTCCGCGCATGCGAGGGTTGCGACTCCGCGGGCAACCCGAGCGGCAGCATGTGGCGGAGCAGCAGGTCGACGATTTGTTGTGGACGCGTGGGTTGGTGCGCGACCCCTCTGCTGATCGGTGTTTTCAGGCGGCCAAGGAGGATCAGTACCACTATGGCGCAATCGAGGGTGACGACGACCTCCTGACGGGCGGCATCGTCTGTGATGGGTCGAAGCTCGGCACCACCTGCTTGGCTTAGGCGGGTTGGGCGGCCATGGCCATCACTGAAGAAGGCCAGCCGCGTGTGCAACTGTGGGGGCCGTTGCTGTGTCAGTACCACGTCCAGAAGACGGTGAAGCGGGCCGAGCTCTGGGCCTTCCTGAAGACGCTCGAGGTGGTGCTGCCGCCGTGCAGGATTTACACGGAACACATGGGCATCTTGGACGATTTGGCGCCCGGAGTGCGCTGGTGTCTCAGCTGGAAGTGTCCGCATGCTGATCTACGGCGTAGGATTTGGCATACGCTGGTGGACCTAGGCCTGGGCATCGACTGCGCGCAGCACGTTCAGACGCATCGCTCCAAGAAGGCCATCGGCCAGTTGAACGGCCTGGAGGGGCAGGTTGCGCAGGACAACGAGGCGGTGGACCCACTGGCAAAGGCGCCGAGGAGGGTTGCGGCTACAGCAAGCAGGGGGCCTTGACATATTGGGGGCGCGCGTGAGCTGGGCGGCGCAGAACCTGGGCTGGTGGCACCAGGAGATGAAGGGTGAGTGGCCAGACGCCCCCCCTCGTCCACCAGGCCAGTGGCGGCGCTGCACCCCCGAGCCCCAGGCCAGCCTAACCTTGCACGAGGCGGAGCAAAGGGGCAGGTGCGTGCACGCTGTGGGAAGAGAGCAGCCGCGGCACGCATGCGCAAGAAGCTGCGGGCAGCGGCGCGCAGGCCGCCGCCGTGGCGCTTCGCGGGTCCTGCAGTGCTCGACGAGAAAATCGGCTCGCCGGTGGCGCGGGTGAGTCAGGCGCGGGGCGAGGTGCAGCAGGTCGCCAGGTCTACGGCGACCGGCGCGATGGTCGCGACGGCGGCGGCCTCAGTCAGCAGCCGCGGCAGCGAGCAGCAGCAGCAGCAGCGATGGCCCGAGCGGGCGGCGAGAGAACAGGGGCCGCTCGCCCGGGGGGGGGCGACCGCAGGGCGAGCGCCACGCCCGCGCTGGCTGCGCCGCCCCCAGAGGCGGCAGCGTGCGGTGCAGGTCTGCGGCCCGTCCGCAGTCCGCCGAGCGCGCGGGGCTCGCAGGGCGCAGCGGGGGGGCGGGCTCCTGCGTGGGCGGCGCCCGCAGACGGGGAAGCCGCCGCCCGCGCTGCTGGGGCCAGTCCAGCGCGGGGGCGCACGTCGTGGAAAAAGGTTGGCGAGGTGACGGCCCGCGCGAGGGTGTTCTGCCGGCAGAACGACGCGGGCTGACTTTCGCGAGGTTTGCGCGGCGGGGGGGCGGGCCCCTGGCGGTGCCAATCGGAGTCTCTGAGGGGGAAAAATATCAGTATTCGAGAAACAATATTGGAGACCACTTGGGCCACTCGGGCCATCTCGGGGCCATCTTGGAACCGCATTGGGCTGTCTGGGTGGGTTCCCTGGCCCGTCTGGCGCCGTCGGAAGCCGTCTTGCGGGCCTCTCCGGGCCGACTTTGGGCCCTCTCGGGGTGCTCCGGGGCCGTCTTGTCTTGGTGGCCATCTTGGGCGTCTTGGAGGCCTCGTGGGCCGTCTTGGGGCCCTCTCGGCGCCGTCTCGGGGGCTCCGCGGGCCGTTCCGGGGCCGCCGCGGGGTCTTCTCGGGCGATCTCGGGGCGATCTCGGGGGCGCGTGGGCCGTCTCAGGCCGTCGGGGGGCCGGCGACGAGCAAATGCCAAAATCCTCTCATTAGCTCTTCGGAACATCAATGATTCTGACCTCTTCGAGCCTTCCTGGAGGCCGTCTTGGAGGCTTCTTCGGCCGTCTCGGAGGCTTCTTGGAGGCCGGGGGCCGCCCTGGGCCATCTTGAGGCCATCTTGGGCCGTCTCGGGGGGCTTCTTGGGCGAACTTGGAGGCGCCCTGGATTCTCCCGGGCCGTCTGCGAGGTCATCTTGGACCATCTTGGGCGAATTCGGGGGCCATCTTGGAGCCATCTGGGCCAGGGTCGCTCTGGCAACCACTTTTTCCGGGTGGCCGGCGGGGCAGGCCGGAGCCCCGTGGGGGAAGCCCCGCGGGGAAAAAACAATCGTAAATCCGCGAGAAATCTAGCGCGCCAGGCGCCCCTGCGGTAAGAGAGAAGGGGGCGGCGGATCTCATGGCCTTCGGCTCACCCCGCCAGCGTGCCTGGGTTGTGGGAACGAAGCCATGTGATATTCGTTGGAATCTCGTGGGGGGCTACTCGGGGGCTTCTCGGGGGCAGTTTGGGCGCTTGTTGGAGACTGCGCGGGTGCCCTCTGGGGCTTCATATGGGTTGCTTGGGTGCCTCTTCGGGGCTCTCCGGGGCCTGTTGGCGCCTCCTGGGCGCCGCGCCTCTTGGGGCCTCCTTGGTGCCCCTTGGGTAGGAATGTTAGGGTTTTCGGTTCGCGTTCCCTCTTTTGGGTCCCTTTCGGGGCCGTCTCGGGGCCCTCTCGGGCTGTTTTGGGCGCCTCTCAAATTGTCTCGGGGCTCTCCCGGGCCGTTTTGGGGCCCCCTCGCGGGCTTCCCGGGCCGCCCCCGGGCGGTCTCGGGGGCCGCTGAGCCGCTTGGGGGCGCGAGGAAACCGGACAGGCGAGAGTGCATTGCGCATTATAGTCATGAAGGGGGAGTTGTTGCAACGCTCGGAACAGGAGCGATATATGCAACGTCAGTTGTGTACGTGCGCGCAGACAGATGTTCGCACTGACTACAAGTTGAAAGAACTGTGCGAGCTGCGATGCCTGCGCGATGATTGAAAGAGTTAGGATGGACATGCGTTACAGGCGCATTCTTATTTCATTGATGAAATCGGTGCCGCTATTTCCCATGCCTGCCGCAGACGCGCCACGGCCCAGATAAAGGGCATATTTCCTCGCGCGCGGAGAGGCGCGCGCGCGAACCTTCGCCGCCGCAGACTTGCTTCTCTCGCCCGAGCCCTCGAGCGACCTGCGCTCGCCCCCGCGGATGGCGCGGCGCCCCGTCTGGGGCGATTGCGCCGGCCCAGTGTTAACATTCGCGCGCGCCCCCCTTGCCCCCCCCCTCCCCTGAGCTGTTGCCGCAATTCGACGGCCCCAAACGGGGTGGCGCGCCAGCGCTGTCAGAAACAATGTCCGACGCGCCTGCGCCGGCGCCTGCGATGACAGGGCGGCGCCTGCACCGCGTCGCGCGGCGCGCCAGAGTCGCCCGCGCCTAGCCAGGGGGGGCGCCTGCGCCAACGAAGCGTTAACGAGGATACTACATTACGCGCTGGCGGCGCTCGCGCCTGGCCGCGCGCGGCGCCCCCGCGGCGGATGGATCGACTGCCTCCGCGGTGCCTGCGATGGCGCATCGATGGCGAGGCGACGCCTGCGCCTTATTAGTCATGCGCAGCGCCTGCGCTGATCAGGCGATTCCTCGGCGCGACGTCGCCGGTCGTTCGCGGAGCAGGCAGCGGCCGCGTGGGCTCGGAAAGCATCGAACTCCGCGCTCGAGAAGTTGACTCTGCCACTGCTCGCCAGCGCGCCAACCTCGTTTGCCGGGTCGCGGAGCCCCGACAGGGCGCTCCGCTCTCTGTCATTAGCGGACATTCGGTATCGGAATCTGGAAATCAGGATTGAGCCAACATGGCCACGGATGGCATCGCTTGGGTGCGAATGTGACAGCGACGGCGGTGATGGCGATGGCGACGAGGCAGCCCTCGCGGCCGCGATCACGGCCATGCACATTGCGCCCCGTCTCGCGGATCGGCTCCCAGTAGGGTCTCCTTGATTCGTCTGGATAATAACATGAGTTGGGAAAAAAGCAGTTGGGTAAGATGGAAGAGCGAAAAAAAACGGTGTGCTTAGTACGAATCGCTTCGTTCATTTCGCCGGCCCGTATTGTGCCATCGCTGGCGTTTGCGTGCGCGTTTGTCGGTCGGCGTCACTGCGGTTGTGGGTGAGAGTCCTCATGGGTGCTCTTGGCGTCTGGTCGGCGGGTTCTCGGGTGGCTCCTGCGTAGCAGTTTTAGGTGCTCTTAGGGTCCTCCTGGGGGCGCCTTGGATGCCTCGTGGGGCTCTCTTGGCGCCTGTTGAGGGCTTCTTGGGTTCTCTTGGGAGGTTTTGGGGGCCGCTTGGGAGCCTCGCGGGGCCTGTCGAGAGTTCTTCGAGGGCCTGGGGGCGAGGCGCCGGGGGCGATTTGGAGACCGAAGGCAAATTGAGAGTTTTGTCGGAGGCCTCGGCGCGGGGCGGGGGGTTCTGCGGCCGAGCGCTCGAAATGTCCGTTGAGGTTCACCCATCCGAAGGGGGCTTCCTGAAGGAATCTAAGGGTTCTCCAGCGCCGTCTTAGGAGATGCTTGGGCCGACTTTGCTCCCCCGCAGGCCGTTCGGGGCCCCCTTGGAGGCTTCGTGGGCCGCGTTGGAGCGATCTCAGAGGAATCCTGGGCCGTTTTAGAGCGGCGGCGGCATGGGGGCGCCGTGAACCTGCGACAGCCACTGGCACATCGTTGACGCGTGCATTTCGAAGGCTTCTTCGGGGCGGTATCGGACGATTCTCCGGGCGTCTTGGAGGCCGGGCTCTCAAGGGGGAAGGGCAAAGGCGAGAGGTCTCGAGCGTCTGTCCGCGGCCGCTTTGGCCCTGTGACCGACCGACCGCCTATCTGACCGGGCCGCGCCGCGGCCCGCTGCCTTACGCCGGGGCAGAAATGTTCCACCCTCTTTTCTTGAGACGCATCATCCCCGTTCGCGCGGCTCTTTCCTACCTCTGGCGCTATCGCTAATGTGGCGCAACAGGGTTGGACGCGTGCTTCGCCTCAGGCGAAGCGTCCTCTTGCCCCCCCCGCGCCAGCTTTAAACGTGGTGGCGGGGCTGGCCGTTGGTGGTCAGCAGTTCTAATTCTACTCCTCGTTATCCACGGCGCTATCTGGTGGACTACCGACATGGTGGAACATCAGGGTGAAGCGGCTTTACGTGGAGAAACTCCATACCATCGCAAGGACACTTGCGCTGCTGCCTCTGCTCGCGCAGAGGTCTCTTACCTGGACCCTACATCTCCGCGCTACTTCACTCCTGAAGTCCACCCACCGACGCCAATTAACAATTTCTTTGAAGGTATTATGCGTGGTAACATGCGCTATGACGTCGCGCCGCCTGCGCCTCCTCGCAAACTGACGTTGGCGTCACCTCGCAACCAGCAGCCACGCGCAACCGACGCCGACCTACGAGGCCACTGGCTTGGCATCGCTACCTTTGGCCTCCTCTGGGTCGCCATCGGATGTGCTGTTGGACACGCGCAGCCCGGCCCCCGCTGGGGCCCTGCCGGTAACGTACATGTCCGCGAGTTCGCTCCCGAGGTGCATGCCTGGATCAGCGTGGCCACAGGCGCGATGACTCCCTCCCTACAGGCCGCCGCTTCGCAGCCTGGCTTTGGAGGTCTCGCAAGGGCCGCTGCCATGAGAGCCCCCGTAATCAATTTCGGAGTGAACATTGGTTGGCGCCACACCGATGGAGCCACCCGCATAATGTTCCCCCTCGGCACGAAGTTCGAGGATTCGAGGATCTCCAAGGCGAGCGACAACTTAATTCGCAAACGGCTCCCATTGACTTTCGCGCCAACGCGGGGGAACGGATCGACCAGATGCCGGCCCGCTCCGAGATTGCACGCTTTGAAGCTGACGCCGCCTGTTACACTTTCAAATCCTGCCAGTTGCACCATTCAGGGCCCCAGGCGTCGGCTCTTCGCGCGCGCAGCAGCTACTGCAACCACTGAACCACCAAGTGCCAAGGACTCAGCAACAGTTCGACTCCTTACTGGAGCGCATGAGGGCATACGCGCATATTGCTGAGAAGACCCTCGGCAGCATTGGTGGCGCGCTTAACCGCGGCCACCGCGCTGATGTCCTTCATTGTGACACTCATGCGGGGCAACTTGCCAGCATTATCTGGAATGGCGATCCACAACCAAACGAGGCCACCACCCGATAGAGCCAGCCAGGTGGCCAGCCCATGGGGTCGCGAGACTCCTGGGCTCAATATCAGGGACCGTCGGCAACGGCGGCCCTTGCCCATGCCACTGCGTTCATGGGCTCGGCGGGGCAGCCCGCAGAGTCTGACTTTGATTCAGGCGCCGATGATGACGCCTCGTCAGATGACGGAACTGGCAACTGGGACTTTTCTGATGTGCAAGTGCACCGCACTGAAGAGCAACAAGCACAATGGCTATTATTGGGCCACCAGCAGCGCCGATGGGGACTTTTTTATGAGGGAACCAGTTCGAAGAGAACGA